TCCTGCGTGAAACTAAAATGAGTGTATGGAATGTTCACGTTGGGGAAACGGATTGGGAGGGAGTGGGAACACGAGAGCGTCGGAGCTGCAAACCCCTCATTAGGGGGAGTGGAGGACTTTAGTTTGGTTCTGTTTAATGCTTAACGAGAAACAGGTTTCCAATGGGTGCAAAAAACGCAGACTGGCGCTGCGCTGCATTACTGGCAGTCTGCCCCCGTTCCAGGTCTGTCTGTTTAGATTTTCCGCTCTGTGTGGCGTCGGTGGCGTAGAAGCCGGTCGGGTCGTCTATTTGGACGCCACCGTGCCGCCGCGCACACACTCTGCTCGACTTGTTTACATCGTCTGCCCCCCGATCCCTCTCCTCTTACAGCGCCTCTCTCTCTCTCTCTCTCTCTCTTTCTCTCTCTTTCTCTCCCTCCACAGATCACCTCTCAATCACTCGTCCTCGCCTCCTTATCTGTCACCCCCCTCAGTGTCTCCTTACAGGCCTCCATCCACCTACGGCGGCTCCACTGTCATTCACTTGTCACTGAGCCGTTGCAGTCTGGACGGCCCCCCGAGATGAGACATGCAGCCTACATAGTGAATGGTCTATTTACAGTTACGTCTTCGTACTCGGCAACACAATCCACTGCCTCCCTGTGTTTTTGCACTGGTCCACCCCACTGTCCTCTCGCTCGCTCTCCTCCGCGTCCCCCTCGCCCTCTTCCATGAGCCGCGTTTTTGTCCCTTTTTTCTTGCCAGAGGAAAAATGTTACACATTGTAAACTTTACTCACTGTACAACACCCCGCAGGATTGGATTTCAGAGGCAGACTTTGTGTTTGAACTGCTCTGGCAATTAGTAGAGGATAGACTTACAGCGCACCTACTGCACAATGGAGGCACCGGCCCCGTTGTACGAGCCCCTGTCCCCGTCCTGCCCCTCTCCATCTGTCGCCCCTGTGGGACACACGGTGTGTTACAGTGTGTGTGGCTCTGCGTGTGCGTGGAGGTGTATTTTTGTTAGTAGTAGTGCTGGATAGTAAACCGGATGCAGTAAATGGCAGGACTTTACTTCTAATCCACCAATTTAGCATTTATAAGCAGTTTTATAAATAAAAGAAAAAGGTTTATAACTCGGGAAGCCGTGCTTTTTTTTACTGCTGTTATCTCATGATCACAAGTTATTTACTTCTTTATCTCGAGATGATGAAATAATAAAACCATTATCACGAGAAAACTAAAAGTTTTCTTCTCATAATGTTTATCAAAAATCAGCATGCATATTTAAGATGAAACTGTCTGCTCAAGGATTATCCATTATTGATCAACGCATCAGACTTTAATTAAGGTGTATCTGTTAGAAATAGCATTCAGATCAGCCCTCTCAGAAGACTAGCCCAGCTGCGAATAAATAAGTAATTCAAGGTTTAAATTACAGTTGTATGTCTTAAACTACTGTTCAGTTAGTTGTGATCTTTAAGGCTGAAATCAAATGTGATTAAATGAACCAGACGCTCGTTTTCAAACTCTCCATAATCATCCTGTGATCCCGAGAAGACAGAAGATAACAAAACGTTCCCGGCTTCCGTGTATAACACAGTAATGTGGTTATGAGCAGATAAACAATCATCACTCCTCCTGTAAGTGGATGCTGGTGTAAACAGATAATGAATGACAATATAGTAAAATACAGCTGTAACAATATAACATATGACTTCACAGGAGACAAATACTTAATACACTCATTATAACTACAATATAGCGTATAAACATTTATTAAATGTTCATGTTCTACTTATTAATGCTATATAGGGGGCGTTAAAGTAAAGTGTTTCCCAGCAAATGATCAAATTACTGACATTATGAATGTCTTTCTGACCTAAATATTTGGTAAATGCATTAAAATTAGAACAGACTCGGCAACCGATGACATCAAAACAGAAGTTCAAGTATCACGTCAAGTCAGTTTTATTTACATCAATCATGGAACTAGAAAGTCTGTTCAGCATACAACACATCTGTCCTTAGAGCTTCGCTTCGGATCAGGAAAGAAACCTGAACAGACAGACAACCACTAGATGTAGAGTGAACACAATAGACCAACATGATAAAGTACACAATGAGGATGACTAAAATATAGATGACTTTCATGAGCAGCTTCCAGGTGTCTCCCAAGCAGATGAGACCTGAACCTCTCAACCTGCCGTCCACCACGAGGACCTGGACAGAGGACAGGCTTCACGAACACACAAGAGGGAGGACCAAGATCCAGATCCAAACATCTGGAAACGAGGCGCCGACAGTAGAACATACGACGAGGTTCGATGGATTTATTGAGACCCAACAGGCCTGAAGTAATGAAAGAATGAGCCGCTCACTGAGAGTTAAGTTTGGATTTAAAGGGCCTCAACGGAGTCAGCCCGTCGTTACACAACATTGTATTTGATAGTTGAGACGCTGTGCTCATAAATCAATCCCGGCCTCCTGCTCATGAAGCCCAGTCATAGGCCCGACATTCTTCCCTGCTGCAGCACCATGTGGCAAACCTGAAACTACTCAACTTCCTCCCCAGTTATTTTCTAATTCTGCGTATTGATAAAGTGTCACGCTTCGTGGGAGAAGCTCGGGGCCCTTGTATGTACAGTATGTCGCAGCTCCACCCAAGTGGGCCTCCACGCTGACACCGATACCTGTCAAAGCATCCCTCTCGGGGAGGCAAGTGTGCAGATGTCCCCACTCAGTGCAGAGTCATAGCGCCATCCTGTGGTAGGGAGGGTAACCATCATGACCCCCCCCCCCCCCCCCCCACACCCACCACCATCACCTCTGCTCATGGTGGAGGTCCCTAACTACCCCACTCCCTGGTGAGAGCATGCTTCCTGCATCACTTCCTGCATTCCCGTATCACTGACAACAAACAGTTCAAATAAGGTTAATTTAAAAAAAAGCTGTGATGGAGAGGAAGTGAGTGAATGAGGGAGAAAGAGGGGAGGGAGAGGGGAGGGAGGGGGAGGCTCAGAGCACCAAGCTGTTGTAATAATCTGCAAATTTTCTCAGATGACGCAAAGACTCTCCGTCCCCTCTCCCTCTTCGTCTCCGCGTCCCTCCTCTCGTCCGTGTCCTCTCCCGATGCCTCGCTCTTGTCGGATGGGAGACAGCGACACACAGCAGGTAAGCCCGGTCGCCTCCCCCCCCTCCTCCCTCAGCGTGCTCCCATTCATTCACAGCTGACACATGGTTCGGACCGTTCGTCACCTTTGACAGCGTTGATGTGTTTGGTGTCTCAGGCTGGATCGCTTTCATTGTTTGGAGCTCAATCTCTCCTGATTATTGGCTTGGAGACATTTGTTCAGCTTGCAGTCATTTTGAATGAGTGTTAAGTTATTGGTGTTAAGTTAACTGTTGATTCTCCCTTCTTAAACCTGCTGTTTGAACATGTGGCGACCTGTGACATCCTACATCAGTTATCATCAGCATTGTTTCAGCATGTCCGTCCGCTTTAAAGAGTTTCCAAGGCGTCTGTTGGCCAAATGAGAAGATGGATTTACTGTACGGAGGGAATGAGCTGTGTGAAATTCAGTCCTGCTGCAGAGAAACAGAAAGAAGGGGAGAAAAGAAAAGAGGCGAGGGGAGAAAGTTTATAAATAGTAGAGCTTTAGGAGGGTGAAGAGAGCAGATGTGATAGTCTGTGCTTAAGGAGTTCAAACAACAGATTAATACACTCAGATTATCGTCCGAGAGAGAAGGGGGGAGGAGGGGGGAGGAGGGTCTGACATGTGTGGAAACACACACAGATGCAGAGTAAGTCACACACACACACACTCATGTTTTCTCTCACTCACACTCCATGTCCCTCCAATCTCAAATACTGACAATCACACACACACACACACACACACACACACACAAATCTGTTCCCTGAAGGTTTTTCTGGCTCCGTCTTCATTAATCAATTAGAGAAAATCAAAAAAATGTATTTATTAAGTTTAAGTCATTTAATAAGCAAAAATTGACCCCAACATTTGATGAGTCCAGCTTCTCCAATGCAAACTGTTTTGTTTAACAGAATTGATCAAATTTGACTTTGATACAAAATCTGATTCCTTTCATAATCTTTTCAGTTTTAATTTTGACTGACAGACGTTTTAAAGCTCCGGCCATGACGTCTGTTTGTATCCAGTAAAAGTGTAATCCCAAAACAAAACCGGTCATGTGATCTGTTTTCATGGTTTCAGTCAAAAGTTGGCCAGCAAATACATCGTAAGGCGTAAAAACAAGTGAGGACACGTATTGGACCCACGTGTGGTCACGACGGAGCCAAGTCGTCCACATCTGATTGACTCTGACCTTCAGTGAAAGGGTTAATACGCACTGTTCAACCTCCTGCTGCAGCAGTCTGGTAAAGCCAAGCATCACACGTGTTTTGTGGCAGTTGTGCATATGTCGGAGGAATTAGATGCAGCTCTGCTTTGATCTTTGTGTGTGTGTGTGTGTGTGTGTGTGTGTGTGTGTGAGAGAGAGAGAAAGTTATGTTTCTGCGCCCTTATTGATATTTATATAGCAAATGTGTTCCGATTCAACTAGAATCATGTAGTTGTTCTGCTTCCATACTGTCGATACAAGCAAACACAAACAGACTTCAGAATATTTTACCGATGGAGAACCGGATCTGTAAGGAACCTGCAGCTAGAGGAACCCAAATTTAATTGGAGGAACTAATTGCCGGTTGAATAATATCTACTAATTGTAACTATGTTTTGCATATAAACTGCATTAAAACTGAAAAAATGACAATATGACTTGAAAATGCCAAGGTGCATGCTAAAATTGCTCGCTTTTAAAAGTGCAGTATTCATTCCCTAGTTGGTGTCTATTGTGCTTTATTTGTTCTTAATTGCATTAATTCCAGCTGTATGCGTGTTTGATATGTGACGAGTGTGTTGTAGTGCAGCATTGCCTCTGCAGAACGAGGGGAGGGCGGGGGGGACGGGGGGATTATATCTCGATCCCTTTGCAAAGCTCACACCAAACAATCAACCCTTGAAAATAATCCTTTGAGACACACAGACACCCGCACAAAGTTACAAACACACGTACATGTCAATACAACGTGTCGATTTACAGATCTCTTCACTGAGCAGTTTAGTGTTGATCTGTAAATATAAAGAACGTATAATAATCTCAAGGTAAAATCAATTATGTCAAGTTTTTATTGTTTTGGTCATTTTGATGTTCCACTGGCAGCATATTAAGTTCCACTAATTCCATGTTCTCTTATACTGTTAAACTGTCTAAAATGATTTTAAAAAACATTGCATTTAGGGAACAATTATGTTCCCCAAATGAATCGTTTAGTCTATGAAATGTAAATTATTTTTTAGAATTGCACATCATAACTCCCCAGAGTCCAAAGTGATTTCTTCAAATGCTTTGTTTTGTTCAACCAAAAGTCCAAAACCAAAAGATATTCAGTTTATGATGAATTATGACAAAGACAAGCAGCAAATTACCTCACGTGAAAAGCTGGAAACAGAGAATGATTTTGTTTAAAATTAGATTCATAATCCTGATGCACACAATGAATAGTTGAAGCCAGACCACAGATGTGTATTAATCGGCGTATCAGCTAATAGTATCAGCTAAATAAGTGGTGTACATACAGAATACATACAGTCATCTTTTTGTGTTGATTTCTATCACAGCTATGGAAACTTCCTGTAATATCTGAGGTCAGATCAGAGGCAGGCAGACGGAGTTGGAGGGAGGGGGAGGTATGAGTGTATGTATAGCCAACGTGCATCTGTTTGATCTCTTGAATCCACATCAGCGATTGGCTGGTGACCTGGTTGGATCGTTAATATGGATATGAGGATGGGGCGGGGGGGGGGGGGTTAACACTGACAAGCCTTTAACAGCCGGACTGTTGGAGCACCAAGGTAGTCCGTCGTGTGCTGCTCTGATGGTATGTGCACCTCCATCTCCAGCAGCTTGGGCTCATTTACAGCAATCAAAGAGCCTTCTCCTCGGGGAGATTAACTCATTCTGTTATCGGTGGGCCGGCCGTCCCGGAAACCATGACGATTAAGAAGATGTGTCGTAAGTACATGACTGCGTGTGGAGGCTGATTGTGATGGTTATCACGCACTGCATAAGGTCGCCATCACACGGCTGATGGACTGAGAGTATTTACATTGAGGACCCTGATGTTTATCCAGTCTGCTTCACTTAGAGAGTCACTGTGGGAGACTTTTCTGTCTGGCCCACGAGGGCACGAAAACATCTACGCCATCACTACCAAGCCAGCAGGAGCTGCTTCCTTGTTTCTTTGCCCCTGAGCTGGACTCACTTTGAACCCCTGCTTTCAGCTCTCATTACTAACATGTGTTTCTCAAAGCTCCCTCTCAAAGACTGGGCTTCCCTTCAAAGGGGGAATGTCTCCTGGTCCACAGCCTACCTGGCAGAGTAGTAATACCTGTGTCATGTTGCTACGAAATCCAGGATTTACTCTAAGCTGCCTGACCAAACAGTCTGAACTCGCTGAATTTAGTTGCTGTGTTTTGTTTGGGATGCTGGGCAGTAATATGATGTAACAGTCGTGTCTGCAACCATTCGTTCCTCCCCTGGCTGTTGCTCTGATTCTCTGTCGGCATCTGTTTTCTGCGTCCCTATAAACTGCATCCCCTTACTTTGGTAAGTACTTTTCAAGCAAGTCGTTAGAAATGAAGGAGTGAAATTCAACCCAACAAGGCTGTAAATAGTTTCTGTTTCCCTCAGTTGTAATTGCCATCGGGACAGCGCAGTTGGAGCTGGTTCCTCGAGGCCAGCTACGTTTCGTCTTGAGGCGGCTCTTGACAGTTCCTGGAGCAGGAAAATAATCTGCCTGTTGGGGAAGGAAGACAGATTTGCAGAGCAGCTTCAGGTCCCTGAGTGTGTCCTTGCAGCTTATACTCCTCTGTGACGCCCTCCTCGCAGGACACATGCTGTTGCTTTATTATTTCAGGGCCTCCATTTGACCTGCTCAGGGAACTAAGGTTTAATCATCCTTATTCTTACTGTGACTCGTGTGACTGCTTTACACATGTACACAGGGCTGGGTATCTTATCTCAATACCTTGAAGGTATGGCCCGAAATAACCCAGTACCAAGTAGCATGGAAACTCAAATCGAACGATACCTATGATTGTTCTGTTTTGTGCACGGATCTAGAAAATGCATGGTTTTGATTGTAGCCAATCACCACAAAAGTTCTTCGACTTAATGCAAAGTCGCAGCAGCTACCGCCCATACAGCCGAGAGCGCCTGCCTGCACACGGCCCTGAACACAGAGATGTCTGAGCCGGCCGCTAGCAGCTAATGGTGCAAACAGCGCGAAGTGCGGCAACAGTGCTGACGTAACAGGTTTAACCTTGGGGGGGAATCGGAGGGTGGGCGGTACACTTCTGCAACAGCAATATCAGCAGGAACTGTTGTAGGTATTGGTATTGGTATCATTCAAGGGTACTGGCATTCCCATTTTTTAAATGATACCCAGTCGTATATTAGGAAGTTCATGACCTTTTTCCGTACATGTTGGAACAGAATTACCCGCATTGTCAAAAGTATTAAGCAAAGCAGCGTTTACCACGCCTTGATTTTGACCTCAATTTTGAGTTTGTCCACCAGGTTTGTTTTGGGTGATTCCCCCCATCCCTTCCCCTATTAGACAGCTACATCTCGAACGTGGTCGACTGATGTTACCAAACAATGTTGATGCTGAGAATGACATAAGGATTGAAAAGAGGATTTGTGAAGACTGTAACAGTGGAACATCCTCCCCCTCCTCTCCTCCGCGCTCCGCTCACCGAGGATTATATCTTTGCAATTGAAACCTAGCAGGACATTCTCCGCCCCCAAAATATACAATTTCAGATCACGCCGGCAATCTGTCTTTGTGCCAGGACGGGCGACTGTTGCATAGACTAGAAAGGGGGGCAGAGATATGGCCGGAGAGTGGAGGTGAAAGCGTGACAGCAGACCAACTAGTAGGTTACATTTTTTTGTGATCCCCTTGTCTAATGTACTTTTTTTTTTTTTTTTTTTTGCAACTGTTTCCCCACCGCTGCAGAAAATGCTATCCGCTCAGCTGATGGATTATAATCATGTCTGATTGCGATTGTCTCACTGAGTCAGACTGTTTGTAAATGTGACATTCATACTTCTGACAAGGATTTGGCACGGCTGCGCCGCTCTCAAGATGTGTTTATATACGATTAATGTTTAGAGATGTTGGCGGTGGGTTCCCCGTTGAGTAGAAACGTGCTATTGGACAGTGGACACATTCTTATTGGTTGACTCTTTCTTTCGTGTTGAAGGTGATGACTTTGCCACGGAGGAAAATTTGATTGCTTCCATAGCAATCCTTACCACACAGGAGCTAAAATAGACTTTGACGGATGATTAGTAACAGTTGGCGGTGTTTATTGGAGCTGGCTGTTTGCGAACTTAAAGAAGTGATGTGGCTTTAGGGTGATTGTTTAAAATGATGGATGTGGACTTTCATAAGTAGAAGAATCAGGTTGATGTTACTTACCTTTTTCAGCATTTAGCTGCATCCTTTCTGATTATTTATGCTGCTGAATTGCATTCAGACAGATACAAAACTTGAATTTCATCAATGTCAGATTATCTTTTTTAACAATGCCAGTGCTGTTGCTTTAAGCATGACTGTCGGTTGAACCGTCCACCACTTTGGATCAGACTGAAATAGCTCAACCACCAATGGATAGAAAGCCATGACCTTTTCTGCAAACATTCATGATCCCCAGAGGATGAGTCTTTAAACCGTTGGTGATCCCCTGATTTTTCATCTCTCACCATACGTTTTTGGTGTTTAGTGGAATATCTCAACAACTATTGGATGGATTGCAATGAAACTGGATATACTGTAAATGTTCAAGTTGTCAAGAGGATGAATCCTAATGATTTCAGTAATTCCTTGACTTGTTGTCTAGCGCCACCAGCAGGTCAAAAGCTTCACTTATCCAGTGAAATATATCTACAAGTTGGATTTGCAGAAAATTGTCTTATCAAGATATTTATGGTTCATCTGACCCGCCAGATGGTTTGTTACACCATCTGAGAAGCCGTCATTAGAAACTGTTTGGAATAGTGCAGGCGCTTTCAAAAAAATACTTGGCAGGTGATTGGATGGACCATCTGTCAAACCAAATCAAACCCTTATTGAAGCCAGTTGGGAGATAGTGAAAACATCTTTTCCATTGAAATTAGCCTTCAGTGCCGTTCTTTGTTCTTCCTTCAATGGAGAAAATACTCTCCAGTTCTGATATAACTGAGGCTATTATAGCATCTATGCATCTAAACCCCTTCAGAAACCCATTGTTGTTTAGAACTCTCCTCACAGGATGCTGATTGGTCCGTGCTCTTTCCTCCCCAGACTCATTACAGAACACATTACTCGAGGCCTGACAAGATCTGTGATTCTCAAGTGATCAAGTGATCCGCCGTGAAAGCTAAATATATGATTCTTAGACGACGAATCCTTTTAGCACCACCATGCGGATTACATGTGTGATTTTGAGAAATATCTCAATAACTGTTTGATGGATGTAAATTTCTTACAAATAGTCTTGTTCTCCTCAGGACCTCTCATTTTGCGCCATCATCATGTCATAATTTTGCGATTTTGTCATTTGTTTGATACTTTATTTACAACCAAATACCTTCAAATTCAGTCAAAATCAGCAAATTACCAAATGTAGAACGCTAACTCGCAAAAAACTAAGAAGTTGAACATGGTAAACATTGTACCTGCTAGACATCAGCCTGTTAGCATTGTGAGCATGTTGAAGTGCTGTTAGCATTCAGCATCAAAGCACCGCTGCTCCCTTCAGTACAGCTTCACACAGCAGCTCGCATGGCTGCAGGCTCTTAGTCTTCCACCAGTAAGTAACCTCCCCTCCGACCCGTCGGTCACGGATAGTCAGACAGCCAGAGGCCACATCTCACGGCTCCTAACTGACTCACTCATCAGCTATATCTCTGCAATATCAGTGACTCCATATTGTGTAGTATTAACATTCTAGCAGTTTCCATTTAGAGAGAGACGATTACGTCTCTTGAGTTGTTTCTTTACGTCCTGTTTAGTCATCGCCTGCTGTGTTTGGTTTGTCTGCAGTCGTGCGTCTTTACTTCCCTAATGAACCCAAACCAAGTGCTCAAAGGACATTCCTGTTCCTGGTCTTCCCTCAACCCCCTTTTTAAGCCGAAGTCAGCCAGCCAGAATGGCAACTATGTGAACCCTCACTAGCCACTGGGGACGAACGCTTTGTTAAGATGAGTCTATAAACAATCCAGCGTCTTCACATTTGATGAATCAGTTTAAGAGCACATCTTTAACCAACACTGAACGCTGTGCAGGCCAGCGTGTGCTGAAGGATGTTGAAGCATGTTTTGGGTTTTTTTGTTTTCCCCAGCAGCAGTTAAACCCCATCTCATCCCACCGTCTCCACAGGCAGGATGACAAACCAGTCGACAGCCAACCAGTCCAACACAAACAAGAAGGAGAAAGAGGAAAGCCAGCGAGATGACAACACAGACGTTGCGTACAAAGATGCAGGCCACTGCAGCCGCAACACCCACAACCTGCTGCTGGCACTCACCGTTTTGGGTATGCACGGACCGTGAAACTCTCTATTATTACGCTATTCAGTGTGTAACTGCAGCACATTTCCATTAGCTGGTGAAAGCTGTGTTGTAGTTGTTAAAGAAAATAGAATGAAAGTGAAGAAAAAGCTTTTGGTTAACTTAATTTAACGTCCCAAATTGAATTCCATTTGTGGTCGGTTTTATTGTTCAGAACATAGCTTTTTGTGCTGCAGAAAATATTATCACGCACACTTGATGTACAGAGTCTGTGATCATCTTCCCATGAGACGTCCTCTGTATAGAAAAGGCCCTGCAAAGTAGAGACGTGTGTTATTTTTGTCTGTCATTTGTCACCCAGATTTAAACCCGTTTACATTAAAGTAGACGGATCTCATTAGTCAGAGGTCTTACATGTCAGATGTAAGACAACACTTTTTTTTGCAAGGGAAGAGAAGTAGAAGAAGTAGAGTCCTCAAAAAAACTAGAAACGAGGGTCTATCAGATATGTCTCATATTTGGCTGATCATTTTCATTTTCTTTACAGTTATTAACTAAGAACACAGTATCTGCTATTTAAACTCTCCCCTTCCTTTATTTCCTTTCCTCCTCTCCTTTTTTCTCTCTTCCTTCCTTCTCCCCATCTCTCCTTTCCCTCTGCCCTTTCCTCCTCTCTCCCCTCCTTTCCTCCTCTCCTTTCCTCCTCTCTCCCCTCCTTTCCTCATTCCCTCTCCTCTCATCTCCTCTTCTCTCCTCTCCTCCTCCCCGTTCCTCTCCCGTCCTGTCCTTTCCTCATCTTCTCTATTTCCCCCTCTTTCCTCTCCTCTCCTCTCCTTGCCTCCCCTCCTCTCTTTTATTCTCCTTTCCTCCTATTCCCCCCCCCACCTCTCCCCTACTCTCCTCATTTAACATCCCAAAATTAATTCCATTTGCGGTCAGTTTTATTGTTGTAAAAATAGCCTTTTGTGCTGCAGAATACATATATAGTGTGTATACACACTATATATATATATATATATATATATATATATATAAACACACTTGTACAGAGTCTGCGATCATTGTCCCATGAGACGTCTGTGGCTCGTTGTTGTCTTTAGTCTTCCTCTGTAAACACTCTGGTATGTTTCTACATTGTCAAAGAAAAAAGTAGAGACGTGAGTTATTTTTGTCTGTCATTTGTCACCAGATTTAAACACGTTTACATCAAAGTAGACGGATCTCATTAGTCAGAGGTCTTACATGTCAGATGTAAGACAACACTTTTTTTTGCGAGGGAAGAGAAGTAGAAGAAGTAGAGTCCTCAAAAAAACTAGAAACTAGAGGGTCTATCAACATGTGGTTAAAACTACAGAGTTTTAGATATTTCTCATATTTGGTTGATAATTTGAACACATTTTAATTTTCTTTACAGTTAACCAAGAACACACAGAATCTGCTATTGAAACTCTCCCCTTCCTTTATTTACGTTGCTCCTCTCCTCTCCTTTTTTCTCCCTTCCTCCCCCATTCCCTCCCCTCTCCCCTCCTCTCCTCTCCTCTCCTTGCCTCCCCCCACTCCTCTCCTCTCCCCTCCCCCTCCTCTCCTCTCCTCTCCCCTCCTCTCCTATCCCCTCCTCTCCTATCCCCTCCTCTCCTCTCCTCTCCTTGCCTCCCCCCCACTCCTCTCGTCTCCCCTCCCCTCCACTCCTCTCATCTCCTCTCCTCTCCTCTCCTCTCCCCTCCTCTCCTCTCATCTCCTCTCCTCTCCCCTCCTCTCCTATCACCTCCTCTCCTCTCCTCAGGTGTTGTAATGGGAGTGCTGTTTGGGATGCTGCTGCGTTACATGTCGGTGAAGGACAACTCCGCCCTCACGTTGGTTTCCTTCCCTGGAGAAATCTTGATGAGGGTGCTGAAGATGCTCATCCTGCCTCTGATCATCTCCAGCCTCATCACAGGTGTGTCCCTGCACACCCGTGCAAGCACAGACACACAGGAAGTAATGTTTTCTCTTAGAGTGTAATATGTCCACAAATATTGGACATTCATTCAGAGTTCCAACTTTTCAACTCATTGTTCGTTACACTAACATGCTAAATATTTGCATATTACCATGATAACTGTACATGGTATCAAGAGAAAATGCTAAATGTAACATGCTAAATGTAAGCATAACATGCTAAATGTACATTCTTATGTTAGCATTTTATATGTACTGCTGGTTCTATGGCTAACAAAACATTGCATGCTAAACGCTAACACGTAAATATGTGTGTAACACTAAAATGCTAAATATCATCATGGAAACTGTACACAAGTTAACCATCTGAAGTGAGCATATTAAGAGCAGTTTTGTGTACATGATGACACTGATGGTCGTCTGTCTCGTTCAGGGCTGGCTGGTCTAGACGCCCGCTCCAGTGGCAGGATGGGTAGTCGAGCCATGGTGTACTACATGACCACCACTGTAATCGCTGCCATCCTCGGGGTCATCCTGGTGTTGGGGATCCACCCGGGGAACCCCAAACTGAGGGGAGAATCGTCAACCTCGGCCCCGAAGAACCAGGAGGTCAGCAGTATAGACGCCTTCCTGGACCTGCTCAGAAACCTCTTCCCTGAGAACCTGGTGCAGGCCTGCTTCCAACAGGTAGCCTCAGCATCTGAAACGTGTCTCTAGAACCATTCTATTAGTCTTTATTCGTGCAGACTTTAGCGTGGTGTGCATCAAAATACAAATGTAGCAGATATGGGACAAAGGACAAGTTGGCCAGTACTGGTCCAGCATGATTGAAGTTCTAAGTATGTCAGGCTATAAATCCTGTAATGAAATCTGCATCATTTATCCTGAAGATGATGTTCAAAAAGCTTTAAAGAAGTAACATTCAGTACACTTCAGTAGGTTCAAAGTTCATTCAGCTGTTGATAAAACAAAATCTCACCTCAAGGTCTATTTAATTGCTTTCTGGAGCTTTTGATCATATCACATGATCTTCATCAGCAGAGGAAGCCCAAGAAGGAACTTCGGAGCTCAGCTTTTAAGCCGAACTTGACGAGAAGTCCTTGTTGTGGTCAGAAAAAAGTAAATTTAAGCATCAAACTCTGTGATAATGAAGATCATGTGATATGATCTAAAGCAGTGGTTCAAAGCTGCGGATCGGGACCCTCACAGGGGGTCGCAAGATGAATCTAAGGGGACGTGAGATGAATACTGGGGAAGGAAATTCTGCTACATAATAATGTTTCATCATTCCGACTTTTCTCAGATATTTTTTTCAAGAATGACTGTTGTGTTTTATCACTTTGGCCCTCAAACAAAGTCAAATGAAAGACTTAATTATAGAAAACTATCTATTTTTGACTAAAGTGCTCACATCTCAAAGACATTGTGATGGAGGGTTGCAAGTACATATGTTAAATGGTTCACAAGCAAAAAAGGTTGGAAACCACTGATCTAAAGCTCCAATACAACCATTAAATTAACCGTGAGTTGAGATTGATTTGTCAACAACTGTCAGCCAAACTCTAATATTTTAATTGCATTAACTATTGGAAAGACCTTTTTATGTGAACATAACAAAAAAAAACACCACAGAGCAGAAAGTATTAACTGAGCGGTCTGACAGAATGAAGGAACTACAGAGAGTTGTTAATGATTCTCTGGAGGATCTGGTCGTCCTCCAAACTCCAGACACAAGTTGTTCTGCATGTGTCTGGGATGAGTGAGAGGATGATTTAACTCGAAGGGTTTCGACCACAAAAAGGACCAAAAAAGTCCAAAGCTGCCTTCTGTTCATGTACATGTTACAGAAGTGTGACCTTTAAAGTGGAATTGTCCAGTAAAAAAATGAAGTTTTGATTAAAGCAAATACAAACAGAGCTCCTAGAATAAAACAATGACATTTAAGGCTCTTTTTATTTAATAGCATTGCAGTTTGAATTACTGCTGTTTAGACAGAAGAAGCCGTAAACTGAGATGGAAATGAAACAACACAAACAATCATTAATCGAAACCTGTGTTGAGCGATAAGGATATTTAAGAAAGGAATAATAACCCGATAAAAAGGTGAGACATCAGAAGCACTTTGTTCTGAACACCAGCTGAAATCAGATTGTGATTCTCCGTCTGAATTCTTCAGTTACAGTAACGGTCAGTTAGCTAATGGTGGACGACTACTGTTTATCCAAGCTGATCGTTTTTAACCGATAATCCGAGTTCTCAATCACGATGTGACTGACTTCTTCTGTCCAAATCCAGTTCCCCCCCCCCTCCTCTCTTAGCGCTGCCATGCGTGTGTGTCTGAATGATTAGAAGTAGTCGTCTGTGTCGGACCGGGTTGAGGTTCAGCCCTTCTGCTGCTGCTAATCTCTTTACATCTGTAATGCTACATCTTTATTTACCACAGTCGGGCATCTGAGAGCACCGCTGAGCACCAGCTTACAGACTTCTCTCTCTCTCTCTCTCTCTCTCTCTCTCTCTCTCTCTCTCTCTCTCTCCTGTCTGCTTCTCTGTTTTACTGCTTCTTTTGTTTGTCTCATCGGGGGATTCATTGAAGTCATAAAAAGGCGTAATTGCTTTTGCAGGAAGGAATCGTCCTTCCCCTTTTAACCCTCTTGTCCCTCGTCTTTAAAAAAAATAAAGTTCCCTTTTTGTTTTCTTCATGTGAGAATCTTTTGTTCCCCGTTGGGCCTTTTCTTGCGCCGCTGCCAAGCTTTTATTTGCTCACGAACAATACGAGTTACAAAATCAGGGTTTTGCTGTGTGAATTATTATCATATGATTCATATTAAGACTAGAATAAGCATTGGCTGTTCTTCTTTATACACATTATAGCCACATAAACACAACAAACAAAACAGCTCATCTTATTGAATGAACTGTCAAATTACTGAATGGACCAAATTACTTCAATGCACCGGAAATGAATTCCACCTGAGCCATGTTTTGTATTTCATGCTTGTTCTTGCTTTAGGGACTATGAACCTTCTTTCTGTGTCATATCGTGTCTGATAATTGTGTTTAGCAAACTGAGAGAATAACCTTCTGAAACGTCTCCCTCCAGGTTCAGACGGTGCTGAAAACGTTGCCGGTCCCGGCTACAAACCAAACCGAGCCCATCTTAGTGAACAGGAAGAAACTGGAGTACAAATGGGGCATGAACGTCCTCGGTGAGGCGACGGACGAGAGCCGCTTTTATTTCCTAACTCACGGTGCTTTCCCCTCCAGTTTTCCGCTGACACGCTGCTTTGTGTCTTCCTCCAGGCCTGATCGGCTTCTTCATCACCTTTGGGATCTGCATGAGCAGGATGGGCGAGCGGGGGAAGACCATGTGTGACTTCTTCAACATCCTCAACGAGATTATCATGACGATGGTTTCCATGATCATGTGGTCAGTGTCTTGTTTCCCCCCCCCCCGCCGTGTGTGTTTGTGTGCACCCATCTGCAAGCATGCACAACATGTGTGTCTGTTTTTGTTCGCATTGCTTTGACATTCTGAGGATACCACACACAGAGGTCAGTGACAGTGATGGATAAGGCGTAGACGAGGCATGTTGTGGGAACGAGCCCCAGTGTCGGGACATCGAAGACTGAAGAGGAGGGCGATGAAGAGGGAGAAAGGGTGTTAGTGAAGGACACGGACAGATGGGAGGAGAGCGAGGGTTTCCCTGGCACATGGCTGGAGTCCGTGGTATGCTGGGGAGTAGCAGGGAGTCGGGGCCCGGAACAATGTTGCGGACTCCCAGGGGAGTCGGGGTGGAAGATGTCCAAAATGTAATGGATCCACCGACGGCAGTGGAGGCACTTTGGCAGAAAGCAGATGCGGGTGGGAGGGACGGCGGGACGTGGAAAGATGCATGTGAGAGCATGTCTTCAGAGAGCAGTGCACTCCTTGAGGCTTCGCAGGACTCCGGCTGGACACGCAGAGAAAGACAGAGTAGTGGCACTCAGAGCGGGGGACGATGGAGGGGGGGGCTGGAAGAGAAACAGCAGGATGCTTGTGTTGCAGCAGCCCTCCGAGGACATCTACATGTGCAGCTGGACACCAAAGGAATTGCGTCCTTGTTCGTATCACTCTCACAGTATAAACAGATTACTCACAGGCCCACGGAGCTCGCCAAACACCAGAGTCCAGTGTATACAAAAACACGTATCATACGAGGAAGACATCCATCAAATCATACACACGGCATGCTGCGGCAAACAGCTGTCCCGTGAATGCCAGGCTCGGGGCGTTCGGGCAGCACGCAGCTGACCTGGGAGAAGAGCAGGCCCGCCACTTTGACTCGGACCGGGAGGAAGGGTTAGAGGGGGAACACCGACTTAATTCACACTTTAACACAGCGCTCTGTATTCATGGAGGGGAACAACTGCACTCCAAAGCTGGAAACCAGAGATCCAAGAATGTGTTTCGTCCTTCCGAAGAGAAAAGTCTTCCTTTGACAGTCAATGAAGACGGGTTAGGTGTTGGCCTGACATTTCATCGAGTCTTAAACTGATAAATGCTTCCAGGTGCCAGATAATATGCTTTCTAGGGCCGTGATTAATGATCATTCTCATCATTAATCGTTAAGTCTTCTAAAAGTGGGGAAAATTTAAGTGATATTATGAAACATCTTGAAAATATTTGGCTTTTTTTGCTCCAAAACATTACGTATAATTGATTATCAAAATAGTTCATAATGAATTGACTAATATTAATGAGCTTTTTAGCAACTAAGATGAAAATGAGAAGCATCCTCAACTTTCATTTTCAAGTTTCATTATTCATTATTTAAATCGTTTTTCAAGCAATAAATGATAAATTTGAATATTTGCTGCTTTACAACAATAATACAACACAAAAAAAGATGTAAATAAATAAGAACAGAGATATGTGTTTTTGCAAACGAGCCCTTCATAGAGACATCATTTCAGCTCTGATGTGTCGTCCTAACTCTGTTCTCAGGTACTCTCCTATCGGCATCGCCTCCTTGATTGCGGGGAAGATCGCAGACATCGGGAACCTGGAGATCGTGGCCAGGCAGCTGGGCATGTACATGGTGACCGTCATGGTGGGCCTGATAATCCACGGCGGCTTGATCCTTCCTGCTATATTCTTCGCTATCACCAGAAAAAGCCCTTTTACTTTCTACAAAGGGATCTTTCAGGCCTGGATCACAGCTCTGGGCACTGCTAGCAGGTAGGACAGCCTGCAGGAAGTGTGCGTGTGTGTGTGTGTGTGTAGGTTCTCTGTTTGGGCATGTGTTAACACATGTGTGTCACATGTTTCTGTTTTCAACATCTATCCCTCGAGCAGCTGCAGTAGCTGCTGTGATTGATCGGCGTAGCCTGCTGCTCGCTTTTCAGCTATTTGGGTTCAATCTGAAACGGCTGAGGGCGAAATTGTTTTAGTATTTACGCAGACGAATCAGGACAACGGAAGCCAAATGTGTGTAAGCACAGGCTATCATGGACAAGTCCATGTCAGACAGATCCAGTGTTGTAAATGTCTAAGCCTTTTGGGATTAGTCGTCAGCAGCCACACTGGCCCCGCCGTATCCTGCCCGGCTCGGCTCGGCTTGGCTCGGCCTGCCCGGGAGTCTGCATCGCCGCTGAAACCAACTGTCATTTTGGCACATTACTGAGGCTTTAGTGAAAATGGGTAATCCTATCAACGTTTTCTCTAATTATATTATGACCCGAGCTTAGCAGGGCCAGGAATCAAATTCCTTTAATTCACATGTCGGAGGATTGCAACAGTGGCCTACACCAGCTGTCAGGAGGCTGTCGGCCGACTCAAATTTCCACTTTTCTTTTTGTCTCGACCCCAACTTCACCCCCACACCTCGCTCCTCACCTCTGCACTTCTGTCTTTCACCACCTGTCTACCTATTTTATAACACATTGGCCTCTTCTCTGTCCGTCTGCACCTTTTTTTTATTATCGTGTGGTGCCTTCTTCTTCTCTCAGTGCAGGAACGTTACCCGTCACCTTCCGCTGCCTGGAGGAAAATCTGAAGCTTGATAAGCGCGTGACTCGCTTCGTGCTGCCCATCGGAGCCACCATTAACATGGACGGCACGGCGCTGTATGAGGCCGTGGCGGCCATCTTTATCGCCCAGATGAATGACATCGCCCTGGACACCGGACAGATCATCACTGTCAGGTAAGGTCATATGGTGGTTGTTCTTGTGATGTTTCCCTGTTTCTGTCTTTATTTTGATTTAGAAACATTTCAAATACAATCAAACGTACACACAGAGTTTTATATTAGATCCTTAAATCTGTGGTTCCCAACCCGTGGACTGCGGACCATGACTTGGCTGCGTAACATTTACTACTGAGATTTTTTACAGAAAGAGCGATAAGAGGACTAACGTCTGTATGTTGTTGCGTCGTACTCGTTCTAAGAAGATAAGGAAGACAAAAATCACAAAATCTTAGTGTAAATATCGCTCTCCCACTTTAAAAAAAGGCTGATCTACTAATCCAGAATCTATCAATGTGCAAATATTAAAAAGTGTAGCTGCTGGACACTACATGTCTTCTACTTCACTGAAGAGTTGTTCTTTTTCTTTCTTCCTTCAGCACCTTTTAGCACCTTTAATATTAACATTTAAAACGCATACGAAGCTTCACAACACTTCCATGCAACAAGCTATTTTTTTTTACATTATTGTTTTCACCATCAGCTGATCACAAGGGAACAAGAGGTCTTATTAGTACCCAACTGAAAGTCACATGACATGATCTCAGCAATCTGATTGGCTGTTGCAAACATTAAACGCAGTTGTAACCGTTTTAACTTAATGCCACTTTTAACGGGTTGCATTTTACAACATTCCTGGGAACCAGATTAAACAAAATTCCTTCACATTTTCATGTGACCTGCATCAGTTTGAGGCAGTGTGCTTTAATTTAACAATATGTAGTCGTGACCGACATCTTTAAGTCCTGCAGTGAGGAAGTAAGATTTCCCCTTTCTGAGGTTGCAGCTAAACATTCACGTCTGATTGGAACCAGTCCGCCTGGATCCGACTCAGCTTGTGTGCGGCCGTGGGTCACAAATGAAACTCAGCACTTTGAAGTTGTTTACTTTATGTCTTTCATCAACAGCAGTCCACCGCCAAATTCCAAAATCGAATTCTCAAAAGCTCTGTTGTATCATCTGTGGTGGAGTTGTTCTAGAATAAGATCCACATGTGCTGTGTAAATCTTGCGATGGTCCAGTTTCCAGTCTCTGCGGGGTGCTAATTAGCGCTGCAGTTTGTCAGAAAGGACTGACGTGTATCTCAGAGCTCTGAGATCAGATGAACTGCATCACGCGCTAAACTACAAATGGCCTACACTCACATCTGGGACCAACATGAACTGATAATACGTCTAATTGCAAACGTGTCATGACGAGCAGCATTCCACTGAGTGGTAAAGATTTGAATATGAAAACGAAGTCAGGAAACATCGAGAGATCCGGTGTCTTTTGTTTGTCAGTAAACCTCTTTCTTCTTGAGAAACCTCTATCATACCAGCGTTGCACGTACTTACCAACGGGTGACGTCACGGTGACTACGTCCACTTTTTATTTACAGTCTTTGGCACAGACTCAATGAATCATTGATCAAATTTTGTCATCAGGATCCTGGAACTAAGAGAGTTTCCTAAGACAGAAGAGACGCTGCTGACTTTGCTTCTACACCGTGTCAGTATGGCTCTCAAGTGTCAGTTTATTGTCTAGTATCTTGTGTATCAATCACTGTCAGGAGAGGGGTGAGGACGTCTCAAACCAATTCTTCTGTCTTTCGTCTTTGAGTCATTCAGTACTAGAAACGATTCAGGACATCTAAAAATAGTATTACACAACTGACTTCATGTATCTTTGTAATGGAGAAGGTTGTTGCTATGATAATGTTAAAGTAACCCTGTAAATCTATGTTAACCCTCTGGTAATCCTACAGGCGGTTACACTGCGGTGACAGATCACTTTTTAAACCACTGGTGCAATAACACGGTGATGTTTGAAAGGATTCAACTTTGCAAACGATTATTCTCAGGAATATGAGAACCTGTAGAACCTGTTACACGTGGTAAAGATGTTTCGTGGAAATAACCATTGAAATAACGCTGTGCTGTTATCAGCTAAAGCAAAAACCACAAAACCACAATTCATGAAATTCATTTCTCTTCATCTCATTTATCCCTGAAGTCGTCACGTCTGCACGCAGAGTGACGCTGATCTCTTGCTCGCTGCATAACGTTTCCTGATACAATGTCACGTGTATCAGATTTCTGTGAGATTAAACTGTACATTTTATTTGTAGAATTTTCAGACGGAGGTTGGAAAATGTTTATTTTTTCATCCTCCCAAAACTGCCACGACCCATTTCAGACTCGTGTTTTGAGACTTTGAGATCATTTTATCTGTAGGAGGACGTCAGATTTCTGTGCTGTTACTGTCACTGACTTCATTCAGTGTGGCTCCGTCACATAAATCAGCTGGCAGATTCCCTTTTATACCAACGTCAAGTAGTATCTGAGCGCTTTAGGGCTCGGACACACCAAATGCAGAGGTCAAATTTCGTGTATGTATATGACAATAAAAAGGGTTTCTATTCTATTCTACAATCGGCTGACTAAGAAAGTTAAATCAGCAGTGAAGGCAGTTGGTGAGCACCATTCGGTCTGGTTTCTCTTTTAGCTTCTATAAAACATATTCTCCTTTTTATAATCCAAGTATGTAATGACACATATTAATCTTTCATCGCTCTGACATCTCACCATTCATGCGTGCGTGTGTGTGCGTGTGTGTGCGTGCGCGTGTGTGCGTGCACGTGTGCGTGTGTGTGTGCGCGTGTGCGTGCGTGTGCATGTGTGTGCGCGTGTGCGTGTGTGTGCGTGTGCATGTGTGTGCGCGTGTGCGTGTGTGTGTGTGTGTGTGTGTGCGTGTGTGTGTGGAATGTGTAAAATTAACAGCAGAGTGAAAAAAATAAAGAATCTCCCCTCAGGCATCATAAAGTCTTCTTCTGAAACAGAGTTGACAAACAGAAATGACTTAACTACATCTGGTTTGTTTGTGTTTTTCCGTCTGTAGCAATGCTTTGCGTGTTTTTATATTACGCACTACTGGCCTTAATAATTTCCTCTCACGCAGGTTTAGAACACATGCACGCATGTCTACTTCCTGCATTCTTCGTGGTGTGTTCAAGTGCAGCGTCTCACAAAAGTTGTGAGGCAATGTAAAGTGTTGAGCACCTCTATTTCCTTCTTTCCTCCCCAGTCTGACTGCCACCCTGGCCAGTGTGGGAGCCGCCAGTATTCCCAGTGCTGGACTGGTTACCATGCTGCTCATCCTGACGGCTGTGGGGCTTCCTACTCAGGACATCAGTCTGCTCATCGCCGTCGACTGGCTGCTGTGAGTCAGGTGTCTGAAAGGTGGAGGTGTTTGAGTGTGTGTGACGCTCCAGAGCTTTTAATCAGAAACATTTGCGAGGAGACTTTTAAAGGTTTTGGTGGTTTTGGCGGCTCCCTTCTATATCCCGCTCCCCCCCCCGTTGACTCTGATACTGTTTGTCCACCCAGTGACAGAATGCGTACCTCTATCAATGTGGTGGGCGACTCGTTCGGCGCCGGGATCGTGGACCACTTGTCGAAGGCCGAGCTGGCCGAACTCGACGCGGCGGAAATGCAATTGCTCCACCCGGAGGAGCTCGATTTCATCCCGCCGCCGCCGATCCTCACGGAGATGGACCTGATCGTCCCCTTCAAACCACCCGAGCTGCCACCCCGCTCCCCTCGCCCACCCAAACAAAACCACCACGGCCACGTTCTCTCCCAGTCCCAGTCCATCACTTACTCCCCGTCCCGTTCTGTCCGGTCTCCATCACCTCGCTCCATCCGCTCTCCCTCTCCGCGCTCCGTCTGCTCCCACTCCCCTCGGCCTTTCCGCACTCATTCACCGCGTCTCCTCCACAGGACGGAGGCGGGCTACTGCGCCCTGCCCAGCCACGACAACCAGGTAACTACTTCTTCTTCTTCTTCTGCTTCTAATGCTACAGAATACATGTTCCTCTCTGACGCAATAATACTTTAGATTTAAAGAAGAGATACGTCATGTTTTTGGAGATTAGGCCTGATGGTCAGAACAGACAGTGGACTCCGAAATCAGCCACTTATTCTGTCCAAAGCAAAGCATGTATCTCTAAATGTAGTGATAATAAAATATTCAGGTCAACTGAAGGAAAAAATGTTCTTTTATGGGTGAAGAATAATTCTTCAGATGAATGGGACCATTGAATGATCTAAAAAGATGTATTGTTTTGGAGATACATGGTTTTGACAGGGCAGTGACATTTGGTACCTTTATCCTCCAAAGAAACTATTTCTATGTAATATTTTCTGGATGCAATGATTAATCGAGGTATTTAGGTGTCATTTCATCTGACTTATATCCCCTCAAGTCAGTGTACATTTGTCTCTCCTGCTTTGGTTCTTAGTGAGATGCTACGAACTTGGAAAATAGGTGAAATATGTGGTTGAATCTGGACATTTTGTGGGAGATAATTTTAATGGTAAAAATGTACATGAATAACAAAACAAAAAGAACAAAAATGTGTTTTCTCAACAAAATATAGTTCCACAAACAAATGAAGTGTTTGTACTTGTGTATTCCTATAGCTTTAAAATGTGTGAATCTAGAAGACAGGAAGTATAAAGTATTGATATTAACAAGATATTAGTAGTGTTATCAACAATGGATGATTTGATTCTCCAAACCCTGATGTATTCATTTATCACGTGTATTTCCACTGTTTTAGTCTCTAAGTAAAAGGCTTCGACATGTTCTCATCACGTCTCTTTGCCCTCTCAGATTCCCAAAATGCCTCGTTCCCACAGAGAGAGAGAGAGGGAACGGGAGCGCCTGAGGCGGGAGAGCGAAACCGAAGAGGAGGAGGAGAGAGAGAGGGTCTTGGGTGAAACGAGCGACGGCGAGGAGAGCGATGACACTGCTTACGATCGGAGGCAGGCTATGCCGCACAGCGACCTGCCATGATCAGATTTTTACCACCAAAACAAAAAAAAAGCTTCCCCATCGATTAGTTTTCATTTTACGACAGCTTTTCGAGGTCCACACTGGATTTCTGGCAGGTTACATTGCTACTTCTCTTAGACGTGTTTAGAGTCACTGCTCTTGATTAACAGAACGTTGGATTAGTGATCGATTCGCTCACTTTGAGCTCGATATACGCAGATACTAAAATGCTGAGATGGCCCTTTAAAACCATACTTCTGCTCTTTGGTTTGCAAAACAGAGCTTTAAACGGAGAGTTTATTTCCCTAGTTTACTCATGTCTTCCATCACTGTCTTGATTTTGTCATTTCATGGTTGAACCTGAATGTCTGATCTTCCTTAAATTTGCCTGATAGGAGAGGAATTGTGAGTCTGCTCTCGATGAGAAAAGTATCTTGGTGTTATCAGCCTTTTAACGCACAACCACGAGTTATCAGTTGATCCTTGACCTTTGCCCAGCTCCTTCTCCTCTACTTTTATTTTCCTGACAGGAAGTGAAAATGCTTAGACTTGAAGGAATAGCTTCACATTTTGAGAAAGACGCTTTTCTTGCAGATATGAGAACATAGATGTTACGCTTCAGTTTCAAAGTAAATCCACCGACCAGCATCCTCCACAGCTCACTAATTAACACGTTATACTTTGTTTGTTTAATCCGTACAAAAACTGAAGTATAAAAATGACAATTTGGCTTTTTTAATAGGATGTTATGTGCCGGACTATTTCTTGTCTGGGAGCAGTGAATACCTGGAATTTCCACTGGTCGAGAAACATTCCAGCAAATACAGTAAATACCTGTAAAGTCACAACTTGTCATTTTTACGCTTCTGCTTTTGTGCTGATTAAACAAACACCATGTTCAGTAGTGAGTGTTTAAGATGCTGGTTGGAGGGTTTTTGTTATGGTTGGACAGGGCCAAGGACTAGCTGAGTCTTTATGCTAAGCTAAGCTAACAGGCTGCTGGCTGTAAGCTTCTTATTTACACATTAAAGTGGTGTTGATCTTCTAATTTAACTCCCAAAATGTTGAACTACTCCTTTAAATAACCTTGAGAATACCAACAGGTTCACGTACGTGAAAGAAATTCAGCAGACGTTATTTTTTATAATTCTCTACCTGTTTATCTCTTTACATTTCCATCCTCGGTGCTCTTCTGCACATCACCTCTCATCTTGATGTTAATATTGTCTATATCATCTATGGTTTGTATTTCCTCGTTGTGGTCTGGTGTCTAAAAGGACGAGTTTTAGGCGAGATGCTGTTTTGATTTAGTCGTATGTTTAAATTTACTAGTTTTAACTCTCATTGTTCATTCTTAAATGCTGTAAAATAACGTCATCGGTCTCTCCCTCCCCACTGAACTGCCTTTCATTTTAAATTTAATTTCATCTGCTGCCTCCCTGCGTCCTTAAGTCTTAACTCAGATTCACAAGTCCGGCTCATGTGTATATTGTATGTAATAAAATCTTAGAGATTTATTTAAAATAACTGTGATTCTCCTGTGTTTCCTCTGCTGCTTAAGCACAATCGGCGGAGGGATTTGCAGTTGAAAGGGGACACACGTCAGTGTTTGGTGACTAAGATGCAGGAAAAATCCTGCAGACAAAGATATTACTGGGTGGAAAAGTTGCAACAGACACGCATTGCACACGAGGCCGCGCTTACAGAACACGCTGATGAGACAAAGCCACACAGATACCAACACACATAATCCTCTCAAAGAAGAGTTAGAGATGGGCGAGGCAGGAGAGAGTGAGGGATGGGAGAGGAATCGGAGGGCGGCAGATGGCCAGAAAGACGTCAATCCTTTTCATTCTTCCCAGACAGCATAAGGGCACTGTGGGTGATTGCAGCCGGTGCTGACGTTGGATTTGGGTCCCTGCACGTCAGAGGAGTCAGGGGGGAGGGAAAAGGTGAGATGCTGCACGTCAGCACAAATCTGACAAAAGAATACTAACAATGTGTCTGAAAATCTGTGTAATTCTGTATGTCTGAAATTCTGAATCTGTGATGACGATGTTTGTGGGAGCGCAGCACTGATCTGTCCTGTAGCATGAGAGGGAGCTCCAACACATGACACGAGGATATCACACCATCTGATGAGGGGAGAGGGGGGGGGGGTCAGCAATTTAATCACTGCAGCCAGCATGGAGAGGACTGTGTGTGTGTGTGTGTGTGTGTGTGTGAGGGGTGGGGGTTATGAGGAGCATGATCTGCTCTGAAGCACTTTCCATTCTCTTTACTTCAGCTCAACTCAAACGGTTGTTCATTATTTCAGTTCTTCCTCACTGAGGATTTATTTTTACTGGACCTTAAACTACATGAGTCACGGATAAAGACAAACATTGGTAGTGGGATAAAGAAACTTCATTTACTTTGATTTATAGGTTTCATATCTAATTTAACTGGACATTTGGAAAAATGTCTATGATGGCTGCTACAACGTCTTTACTAAGTAATCTGACAGTTCGTTTCCTCCATTAATCATTTGGTTGATTTAATATCTGAGAACAGTGAAAATGAATTTTGAAGCCAGGGCCGACTTGTTCTCACTTCTAACCCGTCAACTACTGTGTCAGTGCAGCTCTGCAGCTCATATGACACACACAGACACCCTTTAGTGTCTGTATGAGACGCTTAAGACTTTCAACTAACTCCAATGTAAAACCATCCGCGTCATTGTTAGACGCTCAGAGCGACTGACGTAGTATAAAGAGAGAGAAAGTCTATTTAGGGTTGTGGTGGATGGGAGACGGCTGTTCGTGTGCCGTTTGAAACCAAAAAGTCAACGTTGACTTGTTTTGTCACGTCAGTCTCGTTAGTCATTCGTTTGTTGCGTGAGAAACAAACTAAGTGTTTTTGTTGCCTAAACCTAAACTTCTTGTGAAGCAAGTTTATTTAAAAAAAGACACTAACGAGCGTGTACTGACACGTCTAAAACCGAGGGGCACGTAGAGCGTCATGGCTTGAGGTTTAGGACAACTAAAGCATAAAGTAAAGTATTTGTCGAGTTGGGAGTGACGACGTGTTGCCATGGCTCTAGATTGAAAACCTGATGTAACAGGATGCATGATTTCATGCTGTAACAGCCGTGGGATCAGAAATTGTGGTTTTACTGGGTTTCAATCGAGACATTTTTGTCCTCAAGTGTCTGTATTATGGCTACAAAGTTGATTATAGAGTCATAATAGGAGCTGAATTTGAACTTCCAAAAATAAAAAATAAAAAATATTAAAGAATCCACAAATGTCCCGAGTGATGCATACTGTATTTTGGCTTGATGTCAGAGACACGATGCAATCACATGTTAACTTTCATCTGCTTCCAGTTTGGTACAATAATTTAGTCTTCTTTTTCTTTTTTAATAATGAAAACAACATAACGTAAGTCATCTGGATCATATGGCATAAATTGACGTGATCACTTCGTTTGGTTAGTTCTGAAGTCTCTCATGTTACATTACTGTAAATTAAATCCAGTGGCAGCAGGAGTGAGACAGATGTCAGGCTGACATCTAGAGGCCGGATCACTCATCACATGCAGCACATATGCACACGGCTTACAGCTCAATCTGTGCTGCACTATATCTTTTCTACACCGTTTTAACTGAGAGGAGGCGAGACGTGCAGGGTGCGTCATCCTCTAACGTCACTGTGTGAATGCCTCGTGATGCTTTTAAAACGTTGTTTAGACTCGAGCACACATCATCACATTCTCCCCGAGTCACTGCACAGCGAGTCACGTGGAAGGAATTCACAAATCCACGACCTGAGTGATTAACATATGATCTTTATTAAATAAAGGAAGACATATATGTTTACATACGCAGCCACATCTGTCTTCAGACTATATGCAGGTCACACTACATCCACACAGTCAAAAAAACGTATAAAATTAAGCTTAAAAAGGGTTTATTAAGTCTTTAATTCATATCAGTTACAATGGATTCAAACGGTGACAAGAATTTGCAAAGAAAGTATCGCAATCCTGCAAAATAACCAATTTATCTGCTGCATATTTAACAAAATATGGCTGAATACACGTCTTGATGCTAGTTCTGCTTGAATTGATTTGGCTGTATTGTAGGAAAAGGTAAATTATGTGGATCAGATATTTTATCTCCATATGTACAGTTTTGATGACAGTTTCTCTTCCATTGAGAAGCTGCTTTACGATAGATTTCTCATTGTGAGAACGAGACACCTGTAAATATGCAGATAGAGAAGGATTACTTCACAGAGCTGGTCTGAGAAAGTATTCGTGGACAATTTGATGAATTCTGCCATAGAGTGCTGCAGGGATTGTGTATTGGTGTAGGCCAACAAGGAAGTTAATGCCAATGGGATCTTTCTATTGGATTTTGGATTACTACAGAAAATCAACATTTTCTTCAGCAACATAATCTTCACAGATGAACACCACTTTTAGGATTTTTGAAGCGCGAATGCAATCTGCAGAAGTCAAAACCTAACGTTAGCTTATAGACCAGACCCCGGTCACTTGACTTCACGATGACACTAAGCATGACTGATGTCTCATTTAGCCACTTTTTAAGACTCGTAAAAGCTTCAAAAGTCACGAGTTCATGGTTTTTATGACATTTTATAGTGTAGTACAAAACATTGAAGTCTCTTAAGACCTCATTTCAGGCATCTAACCAAAAGCTAATCAAAAAAAGACATTGACTTTAAGTCAAGGAAACAGGAAGTGAAAAAATACTGACTCATTTGTGGGTTTTAGGACTCATTCCTGCAGCACTCTTTGAACAATTGGAATTCATTATAAGCGACATTTCAGTCAGAGACACGTTAATGAAAGATTTGACCGTTTATAGTTAAGAGTTACAAAGTTCAACAAAGAAGCTCTCAAAGAGTCTGAGCAACAAAAAAAATCATCCGCTAATATAAATATATATGAACATTCACTCTTAACGAAATCAGAAATATAAAAACTAAACAGTGTATTAAAATGCCGCGCTGTTCATCCACTTGTATGTGATTTGGTGTCAAAGGTCAGCTGATGAATGAGCCACTGATTGTGGATCAGCTGAGGGAAACCACAAACTCTAACAGCCACCTTCCAAGCACACAGATGGCAAGTGTTTGATACTCAAACGACAGATCTACAGATCAGAAACATCTGCTCTTCGTAGTTTAAGACAGAGAGTTAATGAGGGAAAGGTGTTCTCGTTGACGTGACGACAAACATATCACAGTCGCTATCGCCTCGGACCATCAGAGTTCAGCGTTGCTTCGGTCACCGTTAGTAGAAATATCCGCCGGCTCATCGTCTCTCTCCACACATCTCTCCAGGCTGTATCCATTACACTGCTGTATGTAACATACAAACTTGCTTTGGACTAACTACATGAACTCTGTCTGCACCGCCGGCAGCCGATGAGCGACCTCTTTGTGGTCAACGTCAGCGCGAGATTACAACTGTGCATTTCTGCCATAACTCTGACAAGTAGAGGGCATCAACACCTGCAGCACTGTACATTTAAACTCCTGTACAATATCGGCAGAGCAGCAGTTTATGGTGCTGCGGTTCACTTAACACCATCACATGTATGAGCAGTGAATGGTGCTTTGTCACCTTTCTGCAACAGTCACATCCGTCATTACAGGCAACACAAATGATGACTCTCTTTGTATTTTTTTCCTTTATATATTTAAGATTGTTGCAGTATTTAACAACACTTTTCTCTGTTTTAAAGACATTTTCAGATTCCTCAAATATTCCTTCATCCAGCCGGGATGAAGCATTGTCCATCTGCTGCAGAGTAAAAAAGATATTTAACCTACTTTCCAAACAAAGATGGTGGCTGTAACTTGATAACGCTTACATTTTACGGGTTCTTTGTGAAGTTTCTTTGAAAAGAATATATACTTTGGTATTTTTTATATTATTAATTAATAATTGCCAGTGTAACTGAGATAGTGTTTCAGTCAGTACACGACAGGTTAACTGAACATGAAAAACTGTCCACAAGCAAGCATACACGTTTATATATAGGGATAATACAGCTTCCAATAATACATGTATCCTGACTATATATTAACTTGGGTTTAAATTCAAAGTCAGAATTTAGGAAAGAATTTAGAATCGACTGTATTGTGCAGCAGGTGGAATATGTTTGTTATTTGAGCCGGATAGAGGATTCTTTGAGGAGTCTGGACACATCTTAACCACAGCGGTAAGTTTTGTCAAACAACCTGCAGCCTTTTTCAAAGATCAGATTCTATTTATTCATTGAAAAAAACAGATGTTTACTGTAAACAATGAGTCAAATAAAACCAGGCAAACGCCTCAAATGTAACAAATTAGAGCTTATATCAGTGCCAAGTCTTTGTGTGCATGTTGGAGTTTTCTCCTGCTTCACTCGTCCTGTATCTTTGTACTCTTCTTCTCTTGCTTGGCAGCGTTAAATGTCCGACCTCCTCTCTGTTAAACCTGAGTGACCAGAGTTTCGTTGAGGTAAGAGTTTATCCCTCTGCGACCGCCAGCTTCCTGTCCGGTACAAAGCCCCGCCAGGAGAGAAACATTGAGTGGCGGGCAGATACCCCTGCTGTCCTGCCCGTACAGGGGTGCATAATCTCCCATGTGTTCATGCCCCTCGTCCGCTCCTTCCTCATATTCCCCCTCTTCATCGCCCTCTCCGTCCCAGAGCGACGTGGCCACGTGTTTGTACTCGGTCGTTTCCTCGCACTCCATCTCGCGGTGGTAGAAATAGCTGAAGTTGGACACGATGACGGGCACTGGCAGCGAGATGGTGAGCACGCCGGCGATGGCGCACATGGAGCCCACCAGCTTCCCCCCGACCGTCTCCGGGAACATGTCCCCGTAGCCAACCGTGGTCATGGTCACCACGGCCCACCAGAACGCCCCGGGGATGCTGGTGAACGCCGTGTTAGCACTGTCCACCTCTGCAAAGTAGGCGGCGCTAGAAAAGAGTATGACGCCGATGAAGAGGAAGAAGATGAGCAGGGCGAGCTCTCTGAGGCTGGCCTTCAGCGTCTGGCCCAGGATCTGGAGGCCCTTGGAGTGACGAGAGAGCTTGAAGATCCTGAAGACCCTCACCAGCCTGATGACCCTGATGAGTGCCAGAGACACGGAGGGCTGGGCGTCTTTGTCCTTGGCCAGCTCCGTGCCCAGGGTGACGAAATAGGGAATGATGGCGAAGAAGTCGATGGTGTTCATGACGTCTTTGAAGAAGTGCACCTTGTTAGGAGCGCAGACTAGGCGCACGATGAGTTCAAAGGAGAACCAGATGATGCAGATCGTCTCCACGATGAAGAAGGGGTCCTGGAAGGGGGTGAAGCCCGGTGAGACCGAGATGGTTTCGTTTGCGATGGTGGGGTGAGGCATTGTGATGAATTGCTGTAAAACAAAACAAAAAAATGAAGTGGTTGCAGTTGCACTCAGAGATTAAACAAATAAACCACATATATATATGCTATCATATGTTGTTTATCAAACGTGAGTTGAGAAATACAAGAATAAAGGGGAAAGGTAAGGTTATAATGAAGATCTCTATGGAGATGATGTTTACAAGAGAGGAAACAAGGACAGAGGATCAGTAAGAAGAAGAAATTATTGTGAAAGTCTGTCCTCAGCACATTCGCAGTATGACACCTGTCATCAGGGTCTGATCGAGCCTGTGAGATCTGTGATACGGTGCTAACTCTCCTCTCCTCTCCATTTTCACTCCACCGGCTTTATTTTTCCTCTTATATAAATCAGTTTCTCTATATTTAAACACACACAAAAAACATTAAGTTCATATGACGCTGGGTTGCATTACACCCCCCCAGACGCCGGCACGGCCGCGATATCTGACACTTCTTTGAACTGGGCTGCTTGTTTTTTCTGGGAAGTAGGTGCGGCTTTGAAATGGCTGGGCATTAGTGTCTTTTCACAAGTTAGATAGAGTTACTCTGAGCTTCTGGTGGCCTCGCAGCACATATTGTCCCCAACGCTATGTGTATTAATATGTTTATATATGTTTCTGTCTGTTCCATGTCCTCATGTCTCTTTACACCAACAACACTGTCTGCAACATTTACAAAGTCAATTATATGACTGACACAGCTTGGCCTTGCATCAGAAAAGGGGGCAGTTCTCACTGCAATCCAGCCGTCAATAATTTAGTTTTGAGCTACCTGGACTTTAATGCTGGGACGCCAGTGTCGGTCTGCCTGTTGGTCCAGACTGAAATATCTCAACAGATATTGGATGGATTCCAATTACATTTTTAACAAACATTTATGGTTCCCAGAGGATGAACCCGAACGATGCTTGTGATCATCTGACTTCCATCCATCCATAGTTTGTGCTTAATGCTAACTAGCAAATGTCAGCATGTCAACACACTTAACAAACAAACATCGGCATGTTAGCACGCTGAAGTTAGCATTTAGTTCACAGCCCATAGAAATAGAATAGTAGTCGAATGGAACATACGTAGCAGGATGGCGGACATTTTTATGTGCACCGTTGTTTTTGCGACAGTTGTAGCGGGCTAACTTCTGCATAAACTCACTGAGGGAAGGTTTTGCAGTAACAACTAAAATGAGCAGTGTAGTAAAAATGTTACGAAGCGTAGATAGCCAGAGTAAATTAGTCAAATATAAAGGTGCAAGATCTGAGTTTTTATGCTGTCAACAGCTTGCCGGCAGGCTGATAGCCAACGGTGCTAACAGTGCTAACAGTGCAAACTATGGTGTCAGTGCTGACAGAGCTAACAGAGTATACCTGAGGGGGAACCTGGGCCGATTCACATTCACCTAAATTGTATTAGGTTGATGGCAAAATTGTCAAAATTTGGGCCCAGAGATTTGTGTGATTTAAGCTATTTAAAAGACATATAACTTGTCAAACATCCTAATCTGACAAAACAATGTGGTTGGTTCGATTTTCACCACCACCTGGCGAGTGAGTGATTGTGTGGCGACGGCTGTGCATGCAGGGTTTTGTTGTTTGTGTAGTGTCCAAAAGCTGTTCTGATCACATGACACATATCCTTATATGTATGGGAGTAACGGAGCAGTGTTGGTGGTGATGAGGGAAACGTAAATCCAGCCAGCGCGGCAGTGGTGTCACAGAATTTGCCTCGTCTCCAGGCTACAGGAGTGTAAGCGAGGCTAATTTCATTTCACGCCGGTCATCAGAAAAGTCGATCCGCGAGCCTCTCTTCCATGCTGTTTTCAGTTTGTAGCCTATGAGTCACCACGTTTATTAATACAGACATTCGTTTATGTGTTGATGTGGTCTTAGAGTTGTCCTTCCTCTATATTTAGACCTTTAGCTCTCTAAGGGGTAACGTGAGACAAGGTCATCTCCTTTCCTTCTTTTCACTTCACACGCCTATTTTACCTCTAACTCATTCCACTCTCTCTCTCTCTCTCTCTCTCTCTCTCTCTCTCTCTCTCTCTCTCTCTCTCTGTCTCTCTCAAAAAAGCATCCAGTCCAACCTGAATATGCTTGTTAGTTTTGGCAGTCGTCCCATTGGCCGACAAGGCGTATCACAACAGAAACCTCCAATCCGGCATGCTCTGTCTGCACTCCTCTTTCCTCACTCTTGTTTTTCCACCAGTGGTGTAACTGCCACTCCTCATCTCCTTCGCCTCAATTTTGAGTGGATCAGAGTTAACGACAAGTCCAAAATAATCTCAGGGAAAAAACCGAGCCTCCCCTTCCCTGTCTGCTGCTTCCCCTTCTCTCAATCTTAATTCTTAGCTTTGATGTTTTTAATCGTCCCTTAGTTTTTTCTCTCCCTTATGCGTCAATAGTGACACCTGTTCCCCTCATCGCTCCTTTGCAGTGTCAACCTCTGACCTCTTTGCACCCTGTCAGCACCTCCATACATGACCTCCATCTTGCCGCTTTAACTCGCTTGTGTCAGCACCATGTAGCCCGTCCTCACCTCCCTCTGTTCCTTCTCATGCCTGAACTCGGGCAGAGTCTCCAGGCAGAAGATGAGGATGGAGAGCACGATGACCATGACGCTGATGATGGCGATGATCCGAGCTCCGCTGGAGGACTCCGGATACTCAAACAGCATCCAGAGGCGACGCTGCAAGTCGCCGGCGGGTAAGGGCCTCTCCTCCTCCTTGGGGAAGCCCTCGTCCGCTTTGTAGCGGTCGATGGTCTCCTCTCCAAGCTCGTAGAAGCGCAGCTCCTCCAGGAACATGTCCAGGGGGACGTTGGCGGGCCGACGCAGCCTCCCGCCAGACTGGTAGAAGTACAGGATGGAGTCGAAGCAGACGCGGCTCCTGTCCAGGAAGAGCTCGTTCCGCACGTGGTCGAAGTAGCGAAGGCGACGACGGGGGTCACCCAGCAGGGTGTCGGGGAACTGGGCGAGGGTGCGGATCTGAGTCTCGTAGCGCATCCCCGACACGTTGATGGCCAGACGTTCAGCCAGGGCCCAGCCGCTCCTCCACGGACAGCGACGTTTCTCCTTCTTGGCCTCTCCGCTCGGCTCCTTCCCACTGATCTCCTTCTCCAACTTGTTGTGCTTGTCTTTGGTCGACTTTTCTTCATCGTCGACCTCCTCGGCCTTCTGGTTTTCTTTTGTCTGCCCTCCTCCCCCTGTTCCTGTTCCTCCTCCTTTGTCTTGGTGATCCATCACTTAGTCTTTCTTTCTTGTTCACTCTGTGAACTAAACAACAAAACAGGGAAACAACGGTAGATAAAAGCCAAAAGAAAACACATAAAGGTTATTAATATGAAATAAATTGTCCCTTAGTTGTTAAGTTTTGTCATAAAATCCAACGACCAGTAACACATTCTCACCAATTGTACATTATTTTCCAAGAATATCTTGGAACTAATTAATGAAATATTAAAATCCAAATCTCACCTCAGTTTTCTCTGAGAATTCAGCTGCACAATTTTCTGGACAACAAAAAATAAAACGTATTTAGATCACATTACAATTCTTTGTATTTGCTTGAATTGTGTGATGGACAGAGTGATTTTAATCAAAATAATTAAAACACTGACCAAACTACTAAAACAAAAGAATTTGTATAAAAATGTCCCCATTTTTTACAGTAATTAGAAGATGTCTGTACTTCTCCCACTATATTCTGTACTGTAAATAACATCATGCAGACGCTCCGTGCAAAAAAAGCTCCATACATGCGGTCGGCTTCATGCTCATCACCAGTTTATCAGCATGTCCAGTTCTCCCAGTAGAAACCTCCTCTCACCCGTCTGCCTGCCAGAGCCGCTGATTCAACCTAATCACCCCTCCAGAGATTGACCATGGCTCTCTCCTGCTTGCACCTCCACCTCAGGGTGCCTTTTGGGCTGACCTTTCCCCTCTTCTGTGTGTCAATTCTCTCATAATGATGTCCAGACAGGAGGAAGGGAGGTGGCAGAGAGGGAGCAGCGTGGCTCCCTTAGGGGCTGCTGCGGCGTTAATCTGCAGCGCGGGTGAGGTTCAGATAGTTACGCTTACGTAGGTCACTCGCGGTCTTCACTTGTGCTCTCTCTCACGCTCAGTGTGCCCCCGGGGAATGCTGTCGGGCCGAAATTCAATCTTCGACCCACTCCTCCTCCAAACGCACCGCCGCCTCTCCCCCCACTTTTTCTCTGGCCCCCAACAACTCTCACTTGTCAACCTCTTAACCTCTCACTCTCTCTTAAACATACTGTACATATTTGCACACGTGTGCACATGAACCTGCACACTCACAAAGCAGAAGCTAAAACTATTATGTTAAAAAAAGGAACAATTTTAAGATTTACTTTGTAAATTAAGGCTACACAAATGTGGATTTTCTTCTCTAAATGCTTCCATAGCTTTGCTTTCATCATCTATCTTTAATTGGCTGCTTGGCTTGTGCAGAATTTTCCACACATTTAAAACAAGGCAAATGAAACTTGACCTGCCAGTACAGCCGTCATTTTGAATTAAATATAAATCTGGATGTCTGTGGTTATTTTAGACACATCATGAAGTGGACTCTCAAGCATCTCTGTGTGGCACAGGCCCAGGGGCCCAAAGTGTCAGGGGCCTCCCTGGCCTTAAACTACAAAATCGTACTCAAAGAGACACGTACCAACAAGGAAGAGACTCAAAATGGCCTTCAAGAAACAAAAACAACAAAAATACACTAAAAGACTACAAAGAGCGACAAAGAGAACGCAAAGAGATACATAACAACTACATAAAGATACAAAACAACTACATAAAGATACATAACAACTACATAAAGATACATAACAACTACAAAGACATGCAAAACAACTACAAAGTCGTGCAAAACGACTACAAAAAGTGGCAAAACAATTACAAAATGATACAAAACAACCACAAAGAGACACAAAACGTGTTGCTTGTAAGAGAGGTTTTGGGGCCTCTTGCGTGTCTGTTTTCAGGGCCCCATTGTCTCGCAATCCTTCCACACTGTGACTTTGTGCAGTAAAACTACAATTCCCATAACAGGAAGCACTTTGCAAATGTTGCGTTCAAACACCATGAGTAAATTCCAATGTCATAAATCCAGCCGTTAACTTGTACAAAGAAGAATCAGGTTTTTGGATCTTAGGCTGGCCTAATCGTTGATGTGTTGATGTTTTATGCCGGAGAATTGTTATTTCTTTAGCCATGCAAGAAAAATGACTCTAGTTCAGTTGTTTGAGGGGTTGTTAGATTCACCTCTTTGGGTCTGGACCTAAATATCTCAACAACTGTAAAATGGATTGCCATTCAAATTTGTAGAGATATTTGTTTGTCCCAAGAGGATGAATCCTACTGACTTTGGTAATCGCCTGATGTTTCCTTTAGCAACACCTGCAGGTCAATGTGTTCACGTAGCCTGACTTTTCATCTACAGCCATCATCTTGGTTAAAATAAAAAATGTTCCTGTACTTTTATTTCAAAACATGAAAAATATTCCAATCTGCCTCAGCCGTACTTTGTGATTTCCAATACTACCAACAGCACCTGAAGGCAGCAGAGCACATGATTTGATGAACTGGAGAGGAATAGTAACGAACTGCTGTGAAGCCTACACATGAAATATTTAGGGTGGAAAATACTTCCTGGTCTTGGTTGCCTGCTGTGTCAACAGGCAGCGCAGCTGTGAGGCGTTCAACGGCCGACATTTATTATCAGAAGCAGCCGAAATGTCGCTCCGATACCACAACAAAGTTGTCATTGTGACCGGAGGATCGAAAGGGATCGGAAGAGGGATTGTCAAAGTGTTTGGTAATTATTGTTATTTATAGTGTGGATTGGTCTGTGATCAGTGCAAGAAGTGTCAAACTGAACACTTTTGATTTCTCTTTTTTCTTTTAGTGGAGAATGGAGCCAAAGTGGTGTTTTGTGCAATAGGTCAGTAAACTGAACATTTAGGTTTTTCCCGATCAAATTCTAAGTCAATATCGAGTGCAACTATTATAATAAGTCTAAGTGGTGGAAGAAGAAGATCTTTATGTAAAAGAGGAAATACCAAAGTCTGAAAATACTCCATTGGGTTTCCTAAAAGTCCTGCATTATATACATACATATACATTATATACAAATAGTACAAAAGTAAAAGTATTTATTAAGCAGAAGCACTGTTTCATTCCAGAGTGTTATTATGAATAATGCATTCACAATACATTGTATTATTGGATATTACTGCTTAATATTATGATTTGTCAATGTAGCAAATGTTATAAGAACTGTACGTACTAATGGTTCATTTAATAGTAAAGCACTGTCTGCATCTTGTTGTTTTTTACATTAATTAGTAACTGTAGGTGTATAGAAGTAGAAGTATATAGTAAAAGTAAAGTACAACAACTTCAAAATTGTACTTAAGTACAGGAGTTGTACTGAAAGACATTGAAAGCTAAAACATAAATCTATATGACATGTGTCACAGGTGCAGGAGGTGAGGCTCTGGAGGCAGAGTTAAACAAAGCAGGGCCAGGCTCGTGCAAATTTCTCACATGTGACGTCTCCAAAGAGGACAACATCAAGGTCTTGTACAACTTTAGTGTTATTGTTCAGTTATGAACACGATCACATGACCCGGGGCTGACAGTGTGTCCTGTTAGTCAGCTGACTTCACCTCAAGGCCCAAAACAACCAGACGTCCATTTAAAAATGTTACGTTTTGAGATTTATTCACACCAAAGTGTCAGCGTTTGTATTTTTTTTGTCCTCATCCGTCACCATGAACAGCTTGTAAAACGTCCCATCTGGCTCAACCAGTTCTGTGTTTGCTTGAGCTCCTCTTTGCTCTGCCGGGTGAAGCTTCTTCTCTGTGGTTTGTCAGCAACTGGTTTCTTGTTCAAATGCAACTGGTGTGACTGTCTCTCCACAGAGATTGATCGCAGTCACAGTGGAGCATTATGGACACATCGACTGCCTGGTCAACAACGCCGGGTGGCGTGAGTCTCACTCTTCCTGTTCTCCTCCAGCAGATGTGATGATGACGCTGTGAGGATGCTTTCGTGCTTAATTGATCTCTTTTTGTGTTTGTTTGTCTGCAGACCCACCTCATAAACCCACTGATGACACCACGGCAGAGGAGTTCAGGGATCTGCTGAATCTGAACCTCATCAACTACTTCTTGGCTTCTAAAGTAACGTCTCCAACTTGTGCAAAACTTTCTTGAAATGACTTAAAAAGATAATTGATGCTGACTTCTAGGGAAGCAACGCAGGGCTGTAAGGATTTAACTCTTAAAAGCAACTGAATTATGAAATTTGATCACAACCGAATACTTTAATATTTTTGTTATTTTTAATGGTAATAATAAAAAAAGACGACACAAGAGACGACAGCAAGCGAAGGAGGGAGTGTATTAAAAATATTTAAACATTTATCTTAATGTATGTGATCTGAAGTAAGTAAGTATTTAGTTTTTATTGCTTTTATTTATTTATTTATTTTAGGGTTTACAAATTCAGATTGTATGAGTCCAATGTTGGAAAAATTGCTCAGATTCAATTGGTCCTATTTCGATCTAAAACTGTAAATCGAGTCAAAACGACAGCTGATTAAATTGGATTTTTTTAAATTCAGCAACCAAAATTCAACAGAAAAATTCAAAACATGAAGAAATGAAGTGAGAGATGGAAATTCAAAACTCATAGATTCAGATAAATTAGATCTTCAGTCAAATATCTCAGCGGTTTGAATTCAATGCCAACATCAAGTATTCAGTAGTGACTGAATTTCACGTTCAACTCATCAGTTCCAAATAAAAACTTTAATTATCATGACCTTTCCTTGCTTCCTGTGACCTCCCTCACACACCCAGAGACACACATGTATGTATGTAGGATCTTTGAAGTGATATAGGAGGTCTCACTCTCTCTTCAGTATGCTTTGCCGTACCTACGACAGCGTCATGGAAACATCATCAATGTGTCCAGTCTGGTGGCGACCATCGGTCAAAGATATGCTGCACCATATGTCGCCACCAAGGTGAGTGAGATCATCCTCCAGCAGCACTTGTCATTGTTCCTTCAATCTCAGTTCAAGAGACAGAGATCATTTGTCATGTGCTCTTTTTCTCCACAAGGGGGCGGTCACCTCCATGACAAAGGCGATGGCCGTGGATGAGAGCGTCTACAATGTGAGAGTGAACTGGTGAGACAAACTGCAGAGTGTCTCAGATGAACTATGATCTGCTGTAACAAGAGTACACATGGTATGAATGTTTAAGGAGAAATGATGCTACAATGGATGGGTAGGCACCAGCGTGGTCCCTGTTTACGGACCCTGTCAGCTACTGCATTTACAAACAGGAAATGCAACGTTGCCCATTTAGAATGTTTATGATGTCAAGTTTTAAAAGGTCTACAGAGTGCTGCAGGGTTTGCAGGTTAACTGATTACTTTTCTTTCTACTGACTGATTCATTAACCATTTCAAGATGTTAATGATATAAATCATCCACTACTTCATTCATATAAGAGTCTCTTATAAGGGAAGTCTCTGGAGCAATCCCCCTGTCCTTATCTGGATGCTATAAGGTATCTGAAAATATTGAACTGACTACAAATCTGACAGCAGCCACTCTCACCTAATGCCACTGTCTGCCGTGTGTTGCAGCATCTCTCCAGGTAACGTGCTGACGCCTCTGTGGAAGGAACTAGCAGGACAGACACCAGATGCTGCAGCAACCATTAAAATGGCAGAAACCCATCAGGCAAGTTCTCACAGTGGAACCAAGGGTTCCTACTCTGAGCTAAAGAGGTCTGGAAGGGATCTTTATGAGGTCGTGGGAGGTTTGGGAATAGAACAACAAGACTTTGATCCTGAAAAGTGTAAGAAAATATCTGGGAGCTCTTGTTAAACTTAAATCCTGTCTTCGGGTGAGAGAGGTTCCCCTCAGTTCTGTTCAGCTGCAGAGAAACTGGAGGAGAATTGACACGTTGTCTTCTCAAACAGCTGCTGGGTCGCTTCGGGACCGAGGCTGAGTGTGGACTGGCTGCCTTGTATCTGGCTGCTGACGCTACCTTCTGCACCGGGATCGACCTGATGGTCAGCGGAGGAGCTGAACTCGACTTCGGCGTCAAGAGTCAGATCTCTTCCTGACTCTCCTCACTGAATACACAGTGAGGTCAACAAGTCACGGTCTCCTATCTCTATCGCACATTGACTCTATAGGCCTGTTAATTGTGTAATATATAAATAAACTTGACTTGTCCTGGTCTCCACAGTCTCCTTGTGGCCGTGGAACAGTTTGTTTAGCAGATTAACTGGTTAAATGCAGATTATATATTCACTGATGTTCTAATCTGCTGTCACAAAAGTTTGATTCAGATTTCTGAGAGAACTATATGTCTGAATGGTCTATCATGCTTTTAGCTTGTAGAAAGTGCTCCTTAGAAATAGATATTAACTGAAAGAGACAAACACCTCTGAGAAGCAGTTAAATAACAATAGAAGAAATAACCATTGGTATAAGAAACTAGACGCTTAAAAATCAAAATGTGTGCAGATTGAAACAGGAACTTCCTGTTTCAATGTCAAGTGTTTCACAATAATGCAGCCTGTAACTACCTGGAACATTAATAACAGGCAATGTTTGTGTTTCACCATAATGCAGCATGTAACAAGCTGGAACATTAATAACAGGCAATGTTTGTGTTTCACCATAATAGATATTGTGGTGGAACTATAGTGTTTTTATCTTTAATATAGTTATTGACTAGTAGAGATCAATAACAGTTATATCAATATAACGGCACACCTTTGAAGGGGTTTGTGTGTTTAAGTGTCTTGGTAACGCTACTAAGATGAATAGTAAATGGTTGTAAATACACATGATTTTCATTCAGTAAGATAAAAAAGTAACTTGTCGTTCATGCTTGTTGAGCAAATAGTCTTGCTGAGGTGAGATATCTTAAATTGTTGGCACCTTGACGAACCGTGTAACCGGACCTGCACTCCTCCTCCCCCAACCGACCAATCAGCGTCAACCTGTGTGTCCTCAAATAAACCTGTTTTATAAGCCTGCTGCTCTCCGCCAATCAGATGCTATGCTTTGTCACGCCCTCGATGACGTCATTGAATGAAACCGGTTATTAAAAAATAATAAAAATTATTGATTTGTTTGGCTTTTTTTTTCTTCTTTTACTAACGTCTTGGTGAACAGTAAGCGGGATGTTTAATTATCAACCCAGAAAAAAAATAAAAAATCACAAGCAGTCACAAACCGTTTAAAAGAGTTTCTGAACCGGTTCAGTGACGAGTTAAAATAATTAATGTGCCGACGAGTAGGTTATTTGTGGGAGGTTTCTGGATTCATCAGAGCCCAACAGCCAACAAGCGTCTCGTACTTCAAAGCGGAACTGAAGTTGACTTTGAACTGTTGTCTTTGTTTCCACACGAACACATCATCGCGTTTTATCATCCTTACGTAGCGGAGATGGCAGCCCTCCGGACGGTGAGTTCACTGACCGACTTCTCCGCGCTGTTTATTACCTGTTTACATTGACAGTCTGGGTAAATGGTTCACCTAAATGAGTGATAAGGACGCAGATAATGATCCATAAAGCTAACAAATCCGTCGCTTTAGTTTGCTGTGCACTCACCGGCGTGTGTGTCCCGCCTGCACCGACGGTGGTCAAAACAATGCTGCAGAGAAAAAGGTCATCAAACCGAACTGCGTGCGAAAAAGTGGACATTTTAAACTGTCTTGTTTACCGGCAAAACATAACGCCTCGTTAAACAAAACGCAACGCTTTCTGTTCATCTTTATGGTGCGAAGACGAATTCGGCTGACGTCAACAGAGCAAATTGGACTTTAATTCATAAAAATATGAAAGAAGTTACCAAACGTTACATTATCACCTTCCTTCTGCGGGTTTGGTGGACAGTAAGATAAAGAGTCACTTATCTGTTTGTAAACGACGTCATCGGTAAGCTTTCATTGAATTGACAGAATTTTAAACTGATTTTGTTTTAAGGTTTCTTTCATCTGTTCAGGTGCATAACGTGTGTGTAGTGTATGTTATTGCCTCGTGGTTTTACTGTGTAATCCGCATTTTTTAATTGAGTTACTTGCGCTGCTGTTGTCTCCTAGTGTAATGTTTAGACCAGGCACACACGCTAACTAACATTTTCTATTTTTGTTGAATTGAAAACTGTGGCTCCAAATTATAAAGTACAAATGTCATGCATCAGATTTACGTGCATGTCACAAACGTCATAGCTATATATACAGTATATACACACACACACACACACGTGACTAGCTGCATGTTGAGTCATACACACAATGTCATGACACTGTGTCCCTTTGTATTCCCCAAGGCCGGATGAATAGCTGTCACCTGGGAAGACGATATATCTTCTTGTAAAAAGTTGACTGTCAAAACCTTTAAACGTACGATCACCAGTGTGTGTGTGTATATATATATATATGTATGTCTGTATGTATGTATGTATGTGTGTGTGTGTGTGTGTGTGTTAAAGTGTTTTGTCGTGTTTGATTCGCAGGCACTCCATGGACGACTTGTTCAGGCTCTCCCTTTGTCCTTTGGCTCACTGCGGTTCGCCAGTTCCTTTAAGGTAAAGAGGAAAACGTGAACATTCCTTCCCACCAGGTGAGGCATCCGGCTTGAGTTACACTCTGGCGTGCCTTCTATGTGTCGGAGCACAAAGTGTTACAGCTCGTTACAGGAAGAAGGAAGCAACATTTCTCAAAAGACGGATTTGTCTTTCTTAAACTTGCCTAGAATTAAAAAAATGTCTTTTCCCCTTTCTGTCTTTTCCTTACCGTCTACCTGTTGTATTCATTTAATTCAGTCTAATTGAATTAATTGTGTCTAATTGACCGGATAAGTCAGCCTCTCAACTGACTCTGTATAACGCTCTACTAATTGTCCCTTTAAAGCATGCTCTGTCAATAACGTTGATTTTAAAAAAACAATCACTTTTGTCGTCGCTCGCTCTGCTCTTGTCCCGTCTTCTTCCTCTTTTTTTCTCCGGCTCGCTTGTCCGTCTCCACCTCAGGCATCGGACCTCGTCATCGAACGCAACACAGTATGCAAGCCGAAGCCCGACCCCTCCGCCTTGGTGTTCGGCAAACAGTTCTCCGACCACATGTTGACCATCAACTGGTCGGCGAAGGGCGGCTGGGAGGCGCCTCAGATCAAACCTTTCCAGAACCTGTCGCTGCACCCGGCCAGCTCTGCCCTGCACTACTCCATACAGGTGAGTAGAGGGCTCTGTGTGGTTTATCACGGCTTCATTGAGTGTTTTTATCAAAACAACACTGCTTATGGCTGATACTTCATTTAGATGTATTGTTTATGTCATTTCCTTTATCGGCTCTTTATAATTATACACTTATCAACGTTAGAAAGGTCTCTGAAGCAGCAGCTAGACCAACTTTTTCTAATTTTGCAGTTGAATTTTTTATTTTTTTTTTAACTACCCACACTTAGAATTCACTACAATCATTCAGTAGCAGGGAACATGGAGCGAAGCTGACCTTAAAAACAAATTATTAAATGACAAAAAATGTCAAATGAATGAATAAAATATGCAAAGAGACTTTCTTTGCAGGTTTACCACACTGTTGTTGAGGAGGAACCCGCATGATATCGGGTGAATATTGACAGTCTGATACATGTGTTTCTGTCTTCTCTCCAGCTGTTTGAAGGCATGAAGGCGTTCCGTGGAGTGGACAACCGCATCCGCCTGTTCAGACCCATGCTGAACATGGAGAGGATGCATCGGAGCTCTGAAAGGAGCAGCCTTCCTGTGAGTTTATGAACCTTCAGAAACATCCCAGTGTCAATCACATGCTTGAAATCACACATTTCTTTAAACTCGTTTAACACTAGAACCACACACATAACACCTAGAACCAGGTAGAATTATTCTGATTTCTTTTTGTCCCACACGCATCAGTAAATGATCAATAACCACATTTTAGAGAAGGTCATGAACTGAGAGATGTTGGGGTTATATTTTAACAGATTTATGTGCATTTTAAAAGGTTTTTCTAATTCTTTAATCTGTTACTCAAACTGTAATCTGGATATTGCATTTCCTCTCTGGTACCTGAAGCAACAAGAGGCGTAAATATAGACGGTGCCGGTTGGTGAACTGAACTTAAAGAACAGAGAAAGCCACACTGGCAAAAACCTGCTTTGCTCGTTGCTCTGCTGTAGAGGCAGCTGCCAATCATATGCATGCAGGTGCACATAACAGGGCATTGTGCTAATTTACTGCTGCTGTGATGAACTTCTCAGAGTAGTTCAATCCTGTGCAGGGCAGTAACTTTTAAAAGTCACCATCAGGCATCAGCCTTTTTTTTTTCTTCTTTTTTGCAGAAAGTGAAAATGTGGTTGCCATTTTTAGTCATCTTATATTCTGAGTATCTAAGATATTGATTTTAAATGTGACATGTGTACATGTACACTCTTATAATTTTCAGTCCAGCTCAAAGATGCAGGGATCCTTCGCCTCCTAAGGCTTCACAAACGTCCTCGTTGTTTGTTCAGGTTCTTTAAATCGGTTTGCACATCTGAGCACACGAACGCACGTGCAGCGTAGCCGTGTTCTGGTTCTGACTGAAACAGCATTATGTAACTATCACCAGTGCAACAAACATCAAAATGTGTTTAAAAAGTGCTTTACCATAGAACAAGAATTTGTTTCCAATTTCTCAAAATAGTTGTGGACCACGACCTGTCAGCGCTGACTGTTGTGTGACGTGTAAAACTGGACTTCACCTTCTGTCGCCTGCTGCCATATTCCCAACTGCTCTGAATGTGCCTTAAGTTCTTCGCAGGCAGACACCCTGAAGCTGGTGACCCGCTCTGTTACTTAACTGCTTGGCAGCAGGCCCAGTTTAGGCTTAATGCTCAGAACAACAACACCCTGATACAAGAGTTCATACTTCATCAGGAGCCCAGGACACAATGGAAACTGTGTAACATGATGGACCTCTGCCACATGGTCGGGATTCCAGTCTGTGCTTTGTGCTACAAGGAAGAAAAAAGTATTTTTGTTTCACAATGAATGAATTATGTATTGTGAACACGTGTAATGGAAAGCTACTTAACTCTTCACCTCTGTTTTTTGCTTATACTCTATGGCTGCACTTCCCTATTCTTTCGTTACGCCCTGTGGATGAAATGATAATATACCCGTGCCCGTACCTTTTCTCTTGCTGTGATAACTACACCGGGTATTGTTACGGGAATCAACTCTTTTTGTTTTTCCGTACACTGAAGAGGATGCTGTGAATCAACCACGTCAACACACATCTGCCATTAACTTTCTAATGAAGCTAAAAACTACAAACTAAATATTCTACATCTAATGGGTGGTTGGTTTAATTGTTTTAGATCAAAGGTATGCACGGATATTACAGATATGTTTCATATTTAGAGGGAGAGTGTTTGTTTAATAAAGGCACAACACTCCAACATTTACTAACATCCATTAAAAAAATCACTAGAATTGGGGGGAAACATGATATAATTCTATTGATCTCACTATTCAGCGATGCTTTGACAGTTGATGTCCTCGTCTTGTTTTCTTTGTAGCTGTATGATAACGGTGAACTGCTCGAGTGCATCAAGAAGCTGGTGGAGCTCGAGCAGGAGTGGGTCCCCTTCTCCCAGAACGCCAGCCTCTACATCAGGCCCACCTTCATAGGAACTGATGTGAGCTTTAGCCGAAAAACTGATTAACCCCTGGATATCTGAGGGTCCCGCCTCAGCTGAAGTGATGTAATGAGCCGGTGGTCTGCTTACAGTCCTGATAACCTCGTCCTCTCCTCTTCCTCCAGCCGTCGCTCGGCGTGGCTCCTCCAGGAGAAGCTATGATCTTCATCATCGTCGGCCCAGTGGGACCTTACTTTGCCACGGGGTCCTTCAACCCCGTGTCCCTGCTGGCGGACCCTTCATTCGTCAGGGCTTGGAAAGGAGGCGTCGGGGCCTATAAGATGGGAGGGTGAATTTTGCATCTCTTCAAAATGCTGATCATGATTTTTTCTTTTTTCTTTTTTTTATCAATATATCACGATTATTCATCGATTTTTAAGATATTTTTATTGCACGTTCGTGCTGATTAATGCAACTTTGCATCAAAGTAAGACTTGAAATAAGTGTCTTCTTCACGAAAACGAGTAATACATCACGTTTTAGTCTTCTACTCTGGACTATTATTTTACTGGAATGTTTTTTACAATCTGCAGGGTGTGTGTGTAGAGGCGTGACGGTTCCCTATGATCGAAGCCAAAATATGTTGATTGCCCCCCCCCCCCCCCCCAGGTAGTTGGCTGTTAGTCGAGGAAGCGGTTGATTTGATATGCAGATGAGTTGTCTGTGAGTGAAGCACACATTTTAAACGTCAATATCGCAGATGAACATCTTCATTTATTTGTAGGAAGCTGAAATTGTGCTCGCGATTAATGTGCAGCCCTAGTATCTTGGTAAGTTGCCCTGTAGATATATATCATGATTATTAAAAGCACTCCACCCATAGAACTGATGAGTCACATCGTAAATTCCGGTTGTTCAGAGTCAGAATCACCTCTTTGTTTTCAGCCTGTCAGATGTCTGTCATCTGTAGTAGCAACAGAACGCGTTGTCGACGCCCCTAAACTCCCTCAGAAGAGTGTCTCTACGAGTATGTTTGCTCGTCATACAGGTGGATCAATGGAACATTGAGGTTCATATATCTGAGATTCTCCTGCTGTGACAAGTCTAAATGTTTGCTCTGACAAACAGAATAATATTGGAAGTTTTTTAATTGAGTGTAAGCGGTAATGTTGGTTTACACAAACTATTTCCCAGCAGGAGACTCTTTTTCTCTGGGTGAGGGTTATTAAAGGGCGAGTCAGCGCTCCCGTAATCTCCACTCATTCCACACAGCCTCTAATCACAGGCCTGCTTCCACTCGAATCTGCTCAGCTGAAGTGGGATTACGTAACACAACTGAACAGCAGCAACTCGACTCACTAAACCTATAAAATCTGCTCTCACTTCAGCTATCGGGTCGGATTTATCAGCAGCAGTCGTGTGACAGCAGGGCCGATATTTAAGGGCCGTCGCTCTGTATGCAATAATGTTCTCATGTTTATTCATTGTGTGTTTGTGTGTTACTCTTTCATTTTCAAACATTAGATCTATTTAAGGAGCTTTTTCATTTACTTCATGTTTCCAGCATGTTTCCCAGTAATAATCAACAGACAAACATAATAGTTTTTAATAATACATATATAATATTAATATAGTATATTTGTTTTAATTGATGAATATTTCATCAAAAGAGTCATAGTATAGTATGCCATAATCATGTACATTTTTCATATTTTAGTGCAGCCTAAATGTTGTGAAAGAGTAAAAAACTGACAGGTTTCCTCATCTAAGTATGACTCATCACTTGAGTCTTAACGGTGAGTTTCATTGTTCATTGAAGTCCTTGCAGTGAGAAGGATATAATGTTTCCAGACGTCATGGCAGTACTACCTGTTCATCAGACTGTTCATAAACTTCAGTGAGAACACGATGAAATGTGCGGCTCCGTTTTTATTTGTCCAAGGACGTTTCAGTGCAGTCCAGGTTATAGTCTTCTTAACCTCCTGAGATGATGTGTCTTCATGCCTGTCTGGCTTTGTTTGAACTCTCTCCAGTAACTACGGCGCCACAATAGCGGTGCAGAACGAGGCCGTGAAGCGAGGCTGTCAGCAGGTGCTGTGGCTGTATGGAGAGCAGGAGCAGATCACCGAGGTCGGCACCATGAACCTCTTCATCTACTGGACCAATGAGAAAGGAGGTCGGTCTCTTGTCCGTCTCTCAAACGTTCCTGAGGGTTTTTTTGTTTACACACTGCACTCGATTAGTAGATTCAAATACATTATGGTTTTAATAAAGATAAAACTGTGTTTGTGTGTCTGCAGAGAAAGAGCTGTTTACTCCTCCTCTGGATGGCATCATTCTCCCAGGAGTCACCAGGCAGTCTCTGCTGGACTTGGCCAGAACCTGGGTAAGACCACCAGAGAGGAGACCAAACACAGACCGTCACACAAACCTCAACGGCACACGTGTTTTGTGTCACATTTAAATAAATTACATTTCTCCCACTCTGCTCCTCAAATTCGTATAAGCAAAGTTTTACTCACATTAAAGCGCTTTTAGAACAACAACTCTTTGGAGCCGGTGTTGGCTGCACCTGGTGTCTCGAAATCCTTATAGATGGTACTCAAGGCAATAAGAAAACCAAGTATTTATTCTTATTTAATAAACTGTATAATGAGTTCTTTCCACTTGGGACATCCACAGGTTTAAAGATCAATCTGAGGGCTCAAAACATGATCAGGTCAAAGAACAAAAAATACAGAATTTGTCAATTTTATCCTCTGATTTTTGGTCATAACTCATGAATTATTTAATCTTTTTATACATGGATATCAAAGATAAATGAAATGCTCACAACTCTCTAAACCAATTCAACCAGTGATGCAAACAGATATGTCTTCATTGTAAAGGGTCATAAGGTGTGAAACCTCTGCAGCAGATCCTTAAACCTGCTGTTCACTGCTTCCTGTGTGTCTCTGTTAGGGTGAGTTTAAGGTGACGGAGCGCACGATGGGCATGCAGGAGCTGCTGGGGGCTCTGGATGCCGGGAAGGTCCTGGAGGTGTTTGGAGCCGGGACGGCCTGCGTCGTGTGTCCCGTCGGCAGCCTCCTCTACGGAGGAAAGGTAGGAGTTCACCCTCTGTCGTGTCCTTCTCATGACCGCTTTGCAGATTTGATATTTCTGTGTAAACGCACTGATTGTTAATCATTGTGAGTAACAGGGTGGTCTAAAGGACTAACATGTCTCTTCCCCTCTCAGACTTATCAGATCCCCACCATGCAGAACGGGCCGGACCTGGCGAAGAGGTTCCACAAAGAGCTGACTGATATTCAGGTGAGAGCACTTCACACAGAATGTGACAGATCCTTGGAGGCGAACCTGCAGGTTGGCGCCTCCTGGTGGCAGCGAAATGGAACTGTTAGACATATTTCTGGATGTTTTTCTAAGTTTTTCAACTTCTTCAATAATTAACACTTTTAATACGAAAGAAAACAAAGGCCATGTGACAGGACGATGCTTTGTAGGTTGAGTATTGCAATTCAATGTCTGAATCCGGCACTCACATTCAAATGAATGGAGGACTGAAGCCTGATTCGGTGTGAATGCAGCCTAACTCGTAATTTAACTTGATAGAGTAGATAAATCTCTCTTTAAACTTCTGAAAGAGTAGTCTAAACTTTTTACATTCACAAAAGCAATAAATAACATGTTTTTTGCTTGTTCATTTTTTGCTCTTGTTCCCTTTTTCTTCACTCAGTACGGACGCAAAGCAAGCGAATGGGCACCGCTGGTCGTTTAACGGCTGTATTGAACATGCCAGTTGTATCATGATTCCAGTTTGGAGACCAGCAGCCCCCCCTCTCCCCCTCCACCCACTCTGAATCCACTAATGAACTCCTGCTCACCCACCAACCGAGGAGACGGAAGCTTCTCTCTCCGTTCTTCTCGGATAACTTTTCCCCGTTTCTTTTGTGTGTGGACTCTCGTAGGACTACGGTTGGTGGTTTGAATGCAACAGCTGGCTTTGGGAAGCAATAATGACAACGATATGCAATGTTTTGACCTGGCACTTAACTCTGAGGTCGGCGCGACAAAGCAGGAAAAGCAGCTGTCATTGGACGGGAAAGAACACAAGCAAATGCAGCCCGATGATTAAACATGAAGAGGTGACGTGGCTGGTGGTGATGTATTGTATATCACACACACAAGCACATCCAAATCTCTAAGTTAATTGGGTCAATTTTGCAAAAAGAATACACTCCATTCATGTGTTTGTCCTCATAATAACTCCGATTAACGCCTTGTGAGGACAGTGCGTATAGTTAATAGCACAAACGTCATTAACAATATAAAAAGGCACAAACTGACATATTTTAATCATAAGAAATATTTGCAAATTTAAAGTAGCTATATAATCCGTGTTTAGGACGGTTAACCTCTTGGCAGCAGGCAATCTGTCCGTGCTGTTTCTCATCAAGTGTATCAAAAACTCACATGTAACAGTTAAAGGTTATTAATATAAGTTTTTATATTAATAACCTTTAACTGTTACATGTGAGGAGTATTTGCATATGCAACATAGGAAGATGCGGTGTTACTGTCGTGTACATAATGATCTGAGAGAGTATTGCTGTTACCAGGGGCCACGTCAGTTTGCACTGACCTTGTTTCATGTCGGGGATCTGAGCGTGACTCAGCGGAGCGGATTTTATGTTTGTTGGTTTTCAGGTTGAGATTGCGAAGGTCTAACGATCGGACGACGCGCTGTAGAAGAGGACTGTTACACGCTGGAAGCTACTCCTGCACTAATTTGTGTGTAATCATTATGAAAACAATGTAACAAACAGTGCTTTTATTTCAGAGGTTTTTAAATGATATCTGTCCTCACCTTGATATGGAATTAGAATTGTCTTCCAAGGTACTTGACTGCGTCACCGGTGTTCTACGGTTTTCTAGGCTTCATGTCCTTCCCTCTCTAGCTTTCCTTACTTTGAATGTATTTGTACACACCTGTCCCTCTCTTCTGTCCAAGTGCCTGACCTCGGCCTGTTAGCCTGTTGTTCTCTGGACCTTCTGCTGCTGTTTGATTTGTTTCCAGTGTGTGCACTAGGCGGTGTAGCAGGGTTCTCTGTCAGTGTAGTCCTTTTAAATGTGTTGCTTTTACTCGGCTGTAATGTTTTTACAATAAACCTGATCTGAGCTCAGTATCTTTTGGTAATTGAATTGTTTCACTATTGGGGCTCTTTATTGAGCTCAAGTCTTTATGGTGTAATATAACATGAAAATGTAATAAAGTCACAATATGGCTTTTATGGTAAAGCCCTGAGAAATTTTAACTTTGGGCTGTAAAAATAATTTGAATTATTTGCTAACTGAACGCTTATCACAAAAAGCATTTAACTCTGAATGTTTATCAATATGAAGGAATTGTTTGAAATTTTGGGGAATGCATAAATCGATTTTCTTGCTCGAGTTGTTAGCGGTTAGAAAGCTGCTTCAACTTCAGCTTACTCACCACAAGAAAGCAAATCAACTATTTCCTGTGAGTTTTAGATTTTTTTCACCGATCTGAAGAAAACAAAAACAATTTTTCGTTTCATTATTTATCAACAGTTTAATTACACTCAGACAATGTGTTACAGCAGGCTATTTACATTTGTATGTAATAAAACTGCAAAAGGTTTCCTTGTTGATCAATGAGATAATTACAACATTATAATCACTGTATTTGACATTGATTTCTATTTTTGATTAACGAGACTTAAATCCTTTACGTATGAATATAGTTTAAGTTTTAAAATTCAGAATTGATAAACAGTAGCGACGGGAGTTGAGAGATTTTGTTCTCGAGAAAATACGTCTGGCAGTTTTACACATAATTTAGAACATTACTTTGTACTAAATTATTTAAACTCCCGTCAGGTTACAAAACAGAGTACGAGATGATGCATGGATCCTGTCCTTGCATCAGATGATCTCACCCTGAACCTGAGAGGTGATAAGTGTACATCTCACTCCTCTCGCGCTGTGGAGACGCCCTCAAACAGGGCCGAGGTGTGCTGATCCAGCGGGTTGTAGAGGAAGCCTTCGATCTCTCCTCCGCCATTGTCTCTTTTCTGGAAGTGGATTTCCAGCATATCCTGCAGGAACTCCTGCTCCATGACGTCGGGTATTCCCGTCAGCAGTACCGTCCGAGGACAAACCGCCATCTTGGTCTGGAAGGGGGAAAAAAAATACTATTACAACTCCAGCATGTTCTTAAGAAAGTGACAACACCAGAACATCGTGGAGAGCTGCTCCTCTCCCAACGCTCACCTCTAAGTTTGTAATCTTTCCGTTGAGAAAAGGAGTCACCCTGACTCTGTGCTTCTTCTTTTGGAGCTCCACCTCATGGTGCTCTTTCTCTGTCAAACCTCTGGCAACTGATGGTAGAAAGAGTTTCATCAGCTGGGATTCAGACTAAAACAGACACTCCATCCAGCCGCAGTGGAAAAAGTAGTTCTCCAGTTGCATACCCTACAAATGATGCATTAAATACCAACAGTATTTCAAAATACATGTGGATTCATATTTTACGATCAGCTGTAGTCTCCAATTGTTCTGAATAATTACCTCCAAAGTGAATTCCCCACAAATAACATTCAGCTGTTCTCCATCACAAACACATAAGAACAGAAGCTTGCTCACTGTCTTTCTCCACAAAGGTGATAACCACATGCTCAGAGTCAGGCAGCAGTTCACATTTGTCCACCTCCCCGCCTCCGTTTCTTTTCTTGGAGAAGTGGATCTCCAGCTTGGACAGCAGCATGTCAGTATCCATCTTGGGCAGGTTGGAGATCAATATGTGCTGAGGACTCACCTCAGAGTCAATCTGCAGGACAGACAGACGGGCACTTAATACTGATACTGATCACACTCAAGGGGGAGGTGAAGAGGGTATCTGTTGTACCTCCACCAGCCAGGGCAGCATCAGCTGAACTGGCCGGGCCTCCACAGTAATCCTGCAGTCTGATCCCAGAGCCACCCGGTGCTTCTGAATGTCCAGGATGTTATCGGCCACTGATGACAGGAGGAATACGGGAGAAATATCAGCTACTACCAGTCCAGCATGACAGAACATGACGGTATTCCCCATTCAGAGAGATATTTTCCTCCCAGAAGCCCCACAGTCACCGTGCATCAACTGGTTTGTGGTCTTTGAAATTAAACGATTTTAATCTGGAAAATCTTACAAACAAACACACAGATTCTTCCTCCAACGAATGCAGATGAATGAAAAACAGCTTCCGGACAAACTCACCTATTTTCTCATCAAATCGAATCAGTGCCGTGCCGCCCTCCATCGGGTAAACTACACGAGGCTTCATTTCAAATGTGTCGGCTTTGCTTCCTGACGAGCCCCTGAAGACCACCGGCCTCTCAGGTACAGCAGTGAACACCTGAAATCCAAAAGGGACGGGTTGACACAGGGTCGTGGGACAGACCGGCTGCAGGCGGCGGCGTGTTAAATTGGGACAAACGTACGTCAGCCTGCTGTTGCAGATGGTCGTTTTTGGCCTCTTCCTTCTTCAGAGCTTCCTCAATTCTCTGGATCTCCTTCATCAACCCGCTCTCCTCCTGCTTCATCGAGATCACCCGAGACTGCAGGACAGAAACACTTCAACTACAACAAAGTGGAAAGCAACCTCCAATCAATGGTGCACATATTTAAAAGGAAAGTTTGTTAAGCAAAGCCCTTTATTGTATTTTTATTGTACGTTTTCTGATGTTTATATTTGTATTCACTGCTTTTATATAATGCATTTCTTCTTTTCATTTTTCATTGGTAACCATGTTTTAACGGTTCTTAAAGCCGCTCTTTAATAAAATTGGATTAAAGTAATTGCTTTAAAGTATTAATACACTGAAGAATATTCAACTTTTCACTGGTAAACCTTTCAGGTACATGCGTTTTTGCTTATTTGTCAATTGTTTGTGATATTTTAATAGTTCTGGTTATTCGACTCTTGAATAATAAACACTTGGCAGTTTATTGAGTGACATTTTAGGAAATTGCTTATTTGCTTTTTGACCGAGAGTAAGATAAGAAGATTGATATCTCGCTCATCTCTGGGCTGCTTTTGTATTCTCAGTTGGTTGAAACTGTCAGATGTGACTCACTCCTGGTTTCACCTTTATCAGTGTCACATGTTTTTAACTTTAACAGCTGACGGGAAACATCTGGGGTGGGGCCAAAAGTTCAACCCACAGAGCTGCACCAGCTTGATTCTATTATATGTTGTTTAAATCCCACAGTTACGTCACCTGAACTGATTCAAGACATCTTAAAGCTACAGTCGGTAACAAATAACTTTTATTCATATTGGCTCAAACTGTCAGTGAACATGCCGCAGATAATCTGTAAGAAACAAACAGGTTCCTCTGCCTGACTTTAATGCTCCTTATGGCATTTGTAAGATTCCAAAACGCCCAAATAAAAATAAAGCAATCAAAGCCGAGCAGTCTCTAACGCAGCTGTCAATCACGACTTGTGAAGCTTGTGAACTTCAATCAAACTGTCAAACTAGGAAGCGAAGAAGAAACGGTCAGTTTGAAAGCTAAACAGCAACTTAAATATGTTTGCGAGAACATTTGAGGTGAAAATCAGGCAATGCAGTAACTAAATACTGATTCATATTTGATCAGCTCTGCCTTGTTAGACAGTTTGATCGGAGCGTCACGAGCGTCACGAGCGGTGATCGACAGCAGCTTTACAGACTCCTCGGCTCTGATTGGCTGCTTTTCTTTTGATAGAATAGTGCAAGTACCATCAGGAGCACTAAAGGGAGGCAGAGGCACCTGATTTATGATGTACTACTGTCAGGATACAGTGACAGTTTCAGCAAATACGACAAAAGGTTATTGTTTATTAAAGTTCCGACTGTAGCTTAGAAAATCCTCTCGTTGAAAATTCCTAAAACTACATTTATTCCTCTCAGAGGAACGTCCTCCATACCTTTTCCTTCTCAATCTGCGCTTCGTATGAGCGCTGGTACTCTTCCAGATCCTGGATCAGTTTGTCGGAGCGCTGCTTGCATTTCTGAGTCATGTCTCGCTGGTCGTCTCTGCTGGCGGCCAGCTCCTGCTGCTCCTGGATCAGCTGTTCATGTCTTTTCTGTGGACACACAAGCTGCGTTCACTAACATCTGGTCTTTGTTTCTTGTTCAATAACTTTACAATTATTGGGCGTTGACTTTCAGCATGTTTCACATGTACAGTGTCACTTCGACATCACTTAAATGCTATCACACAGATTATATTCATACTACGTCCCCAAAACCATATTACATTGTGTACATACATTACCATGTATATAATAATTTGGGATTTTTATGTCAAGAGTGCCTTTTGCTTTGACAATAAACTTGTGTAGAATATAATATGGCATTTAGGTATTTTTTTATCCGTGTGAGTTACATCTCGTATACATCAAAATTCATCAATATTTAATTTAAATGTCACAGATATTTCTTTTCTAAATCTGTATATTCTGTTTTCATATACAAGTTGAACTATGTAAGTATAATCTGTTTAATATTGGAACACTAAACTACTCGGATGAGCTTCACTGCACCTTGTAGTTGGTGATTGAAGCCTTGATTTGCTGCAAGCTGTCCTTGGACGGCTTCTGGTCGTCCATCACCAAAGAGAAATCCTGAAACACAAAGAAATAAAACAGATATATAAACATAAATGTTAATGATCCAACAAGACCCAGAGTGTATAATGCAGAGAAGTAGACATGTTAGTAATAATCTTACAAGTGAAAGTAGTATTATAGTACAGTTTGGATGTACTTGTACGTTACATGAGTATTTTAATTTGATTCCATTTTATACTTTTCATGACCCAGCAGTATAAAAAGTCATTTAAATTTACTCCACCTTCATGAGCTGCAACAATAAAGTGATGGACACATTAATGCATCAATATGTGTTCAATAAAATATACTTTGTGAAATTGGGCCAATCAGCACAATGAGTACTTTCACTTTTAAGTATATTTTCAAGCTAATCCTTTTGTACTTTCACTTGTAACAAAGTATTTCTACACTGTAGTACCTCTAACGCTTTTATCGTATTATTTCTGAGCAATAACTTCTTCCACCTCTGATTGCAACAATATGATAAAACATAAAGTATGTAACAGGAAGATTACAGATACATGTGGTAAATGATCTGGTGTAATACGTTTCTTTAACAACAAGGAAGAACAACAACATGAAGACTTGAAGAAAGAAAATGACGTCTCACCTCATCTGAAGACATAGTGAAAGTCAACTGGAATAAATCAAAACATGTTAGTTGTTGCATGCTGTCAGTCAAAGTCCGTGTAATAAATGTACTTAACACGTGCGTCAACAAGGAAAAAAAAGACTGTCAAACGACAAACTAACAAAGATATATTTTAGGCCTTACTTCCAGATCAACAAACCGGCTCACACCTCTTAAAACAGTCTTTAAATACGTCAGAATATCTTTAGATACGTCACGACCAACGAGACTTGTAGAATCTGAAGACTTTCATGTTATCGTTGTTTTAATGTGTTGGACTAAACGTGGCTTTGTTTTTAGTTCTTCGTTAAAAAGTTGTAGAACTCACCTCCAGTCGACGATCTGTGCTGTGAAGTCACTGTTCACTCTTTCGGTTTCTTTTTCCCAGCCGCCCTGAACGTCTCTCGTTCCGCCATCAGGGGGCGCTGCAGCCCTGTGGTGCATTCAGGTGCTTTTGGTTACATTTAAAAAAGCACATGAGAGGACTGGGAGTGGATTTTACTTTTGATTATCACAACTAATAATTACTTTATTATTATTGTAATATTTAATGACCAGTCTGTGCGAGCATCCTCAGTTAGCACGCTTTATTGTAATTATTGTTGTTAGACATATTCTGCCGCTGTTGTCGCGCATGCTCACACCGTCCACAGAAACACTTGAGTCACAGATCACTGCGCAGCGTTAACTAGTCCCCATTATTTATCAGACAGAAAACATATCAGCTGTAGTGACAAGTTACATTCAAAGCCTCTGGTGTAAGAAGTACTCTGATCTTTTAAATAAAGTAAAAGTGGCAATACCAGAAATATTCTGCTACAAGTAAAAGTCCTGCGTTCAAAATCTAAGTACAGAAGTATTTGCATCACAAAATACGTGTGTATATAAGTACAAAAAGTAAACACTATGCACAATGGCCCTTTTCAGAACTACAGTGGGTACGGAAAGTATTCAGACCCCTTTAAATTTTTCACTCTTTGTTTCATTGCAGCCATTTGCTAAAATCAAAAAAGTTAATTTTATTTCTCATTAATGTACACTCAGCACCCCATCTTGACAAAAAAAACAGAAATGTAGAAATTTTTGCAAATTTATTAAAAAAGAGAAACTGAAATATCACATGGTCATAAGTATTCAGACCCTTTGCTGTGACACTCATATTTAACTCACATGCTGTCCATTTCTTCTGATCCTCCTTGAGATGGTTCTACTCCTTCATTGGAGTCCAGCTGTGTTTAATTAAACTGATTGGACTTGATTAGGAAAGGCACACACCTGTCTATATAAGACCTTACAGCTCACAGTGCATGTCAGAGCAAATGAGAATCATGAGGTCGAAGGAACTGCCCAAGGAGCTCAGAGACAGAATTGTGGCAAGGCACAGATCTGGCCAAGGTTACAAAAGAATTTCTGCAGCACTCAAGGTTCCTAAGAGCACAGTGGCCTCCATAATCCTTAAATGGAAGAAGTTTGGGACGACCAGAACTCTTCCTAGACCTGGCCGTCCAGCCAAACTGAGCAATCGTGGAAGAAGAGCCTTGGTGAGAGAGGTAAAGAAGAACCCAAAGATCACTGTGGCTGAGCTCCAGAGATGCAGTAGGGAGATGGGAGAAAGTTCCACAAAGTCAATTATCACTGCAGCCCTCCACCAGTCGGGGCTTTATGGCAGAGTGGCCCGACGGAAGCCTCTCCTCAGTGCAAGACATATGAAAGCCCGCATAGCCCGCACAGACTATGAGAAATAAGATGCTCTGGTCTGATGAGACCAAGATTGAACTTTTTGGCGTTAATTCTAAGCGGTATGTGTGGAGAAAACCAGGCACTGCTCATCACCTGCCCAATACAATCCCAACAGTGAAACATGGTGGTGGCAGCATCATGCTATGGGGGTGTTTTTCAGCTGCAGGGACAGGACGACTGGTTGCAATTGAAGGAAAGATGAATGCGGCCGAGTACAGAGATATCCTGGAAGAAAACCTCTTCCAGAGTGCTCTGGACCTCAGACTGGGCCGAAGGTTCACCTTCCAACAAGACAATGACCCTAAGCACACGGCTAAAATAACAAAGCAGTGGCTTCGGAACAACTCTGTGACCATTCTTGACTGGCCCAGCCAGAGCCCTGACCTAAACCCAATTGAGCATCTCTGGAGAGACCTGAAAATGGCTGTTCACCATCCAACCTGACGGAACTGGAGAGGATCTGCAAGGAAGAATGGCAGAGGATCCCCAAATCCAGGTGTGAAAAGGTTGTTGCATCATTCCCAAGAAGACTAGCTCAAAAGGGTGCTTCTACTCAATACTGAGCAAATGGTCTGAATACTTATGACCATGTGATATTTCAGTTTTTCTTTTTTAATAAATTTGCAAAAATTTCTACATTTGTTTTTTTCTGTCAAGATGGGGGTGCCGAGTGTACATTGAGAAATAAAATGAACTTTTTGGATTTTAGCAAATGGCTGCAATGAAGCAAAGAGTTAAAAATTTAAAGGGGTCTGAATACTTTCCGTACCCACTGTATATTACTGGATTATAAGTATTGATGCATTAATGTGTTCATCACTAATGTTGCAAATGGTAACGGCTGGGCTCATTTTAACATCTTCATAAACTGTTGGGTCCCCGAATCTAATATTTTATTTATTAGTTGATTTATATTAGTATGAATCTTCAAAGAAACAAGTTATTCAATAAAAGTGTAACAGAAAATGGAAATACTTGTACCTCAAAATGACCAGTTAGTTGTTCTGTTACATTCCACTACTGTAAAAGTACACACGCTCATAAAACAGCGGTGGGAAAAGTACTCTGATCCTTTGCTTAAGTAAAAGTACCACAGTAAAAACAGTTACAAGTACAAACTCTGAATCTCAAGTAGATATTAGAAATGTACTTCAAATATCAAATTAAAAGTACTCTTTATGCAAATAAGACCTGCACAAGTGTTTTATTATAGATTGTATAATTAGTGAACTGTCAGCAGAATTTTACTCTTAAAGTTGATCTGATCTAGACTTCAATTGAGTACAACTTTCTTTTTAAATAAATGTAGGTTTGTAAAAAAAAAAAGTATAAATCTACTTAAGTTTTCACATGAAAGATGGAGTAAATGCACAATACGAGTACACCAGTGAAGTACCTCTAAAATGAACTTACTTTTATGTACTTCGTTACTTTCAACCACCGCTCCTAAAATGTACATGAAGTAAAACTACTAGTTTTAAGAAACCAAACCGGTGTTTTAAACAAAGTACATTCTTTACTTATTCAACTTTTGAATGCTCGACAAATAAAATGTAAGAAAGTAAATCACCCGCGTGTTTACCTAGAACGTACAGGGACTACAAAGCATTTAATTTAATGTAGAATTCATACATTGATACGGATACCGACTTGGTGCTCATCTTCAAATACAGCACTTAAATATTGTACCTGACTTACAACATAGTAGCTACATTATAATGTATATGACATAACCTCAATACCCAACTACTAAGTAGGTGTAGAGCAACGTTTGAGAGCTTGTTTAGAGAGACATGAAGGTTCGCCTTGAGGTAGAAATCTATTTGTTCCAGTTCAATAAAATAAATACTTTGATACATTCTGAGAAAGAAAAGGTTGAACTCTCACCATCGTGTGATCACAAGAGTTTGACTTTAGTGTCAATATATTCAACAACTTAAGTTATTTTAGGTTGCGTGTGTTACAGCTTCTGACAGCATTGAGTATTTCAAAAATACTTTTTAAAGGATCGTGTGAACCGGATCAATAATCCTCCAGACTGAGGCAGAGACGGTAAAAATAAGACAGAAAATGTCAACAAAGAGCCAACAGTCAACATCCATTTTTAAACATTTATTTGTGAAACCGAGTGAAGTTAGAATCTGAGCTTCTGGAAGAACCACTTGTTTTTGCCCGTCTTGTACCTGAAAACAGAACAAACACAAGTTCAGTACATTCACTCTGATAAACATCACAGGACTGAGAGGAGAAACTCCTGATATGCGACCAGTTCATCGAATACGAACAACTATCTTAACTAATATCTCAAATTATGGATCACAATGCAGCAACTAGGAAGCATTGTTTACCATCAGGATTATTACACTAAAAGAAACATTATGCACACATGACAGTGTTGATTGACGGAGACAACATCTGTCTGAACTCTGGATCTCATAGTTAAGAGACACCATTGTGCCATTATTAGTCTGAATGTCCCAACATGTGGGTCTGAAGCACACTGAAGTTGAGAATCCATCGTCACACCGACTCACCTCTCCTCAAACTTGACCTTGGCCTCCCGCCTGGCTTTGCGCTTGAGGGCCGGGTCCCTGAAGACGTCCTTGTTGACGACAGTTTTGTCCAGAGGAATATCAACAGAGTATCTGAAGGAAACGAGCACATCGAGGAAAGACGGTTATTTAAACCCTCCACTGGTCACAGCTCAGAGTCTCACAGGTTGCTGTGAGATAAACTGGTAATCAGATTATAAACCTGCTCATCAAATCTGAGTTTTACAGTCCACATCTAATATATAGACTTAAACTTTAAGTTATACAGCTTATTAAAATGGAACATTTTAGGCACAACACTCTTTAAACATGGAAAAATGTTCAAATCGAAACACTTTTTCATGTAAACATGTAATTGAGCTCTGATCTAAAAGGTTAAGTATCATTATTTGTTATGTTCACATTGCTCCAGAACGGCATCCTGTGACGGCAAATGTGATTTAAATGTTATTTACTTCAAAACACATCCAATATCGTATTTCCAATCTCAGTCACACAACCTACCAATAGCTTGACATAATTCAAATATGACAATAAAGCTGAACAGATTCCTGCATCCGAGCATAAACAAAACTTCTTTTAAAAAGGAAAAAAATCAAGCAAATATCTGTCAATGTTTGGAATGTCTTCATGTTTTTACTCTTTATGTTTGTCTTCACACCAATTAAAATACTGAGGAAGCCAGTAATGCTGAGGGGACGAGGTTAGATGGGCATGTGATCAAAGACAAAACAGAGACTAGAATGAATGTAGATAAACAAGCTCAGCAACAAGACGTTTCCTAACAAAATGCACCTTGGTAGTTGTAGATAAATTATCTTGACACTTTAACTCCCACAGTTTTGTGGCTGGGTTCTAACCCCAACCTGCCCTAAATGTGCCTTTTTAAATCAATGCATGTTATATAATCTAACACAGCGACTCATCTCATACACTTTTTACTTCACAAGGATTGTTTCGTGTCCGTTATCTTAAGCGTTGAAGTGCATCACCTAATCCGCAGGACATATTTTGTTTCATCAACCTTCCACCACATCGTACTTTTGGAGAATAAACACTTAAGTTTGCTGCTACACATCAGTAAAACAAGGAAGACAGACAATATAATACTCAATCACAGGAAATGAGTGCAGACAACAGACACTGACCTGGTGGGCATCAGGTGGTTGTAGTTGAACACCTTGACGAAGGCCTTGATCTTGGACCTCTTGGCGATCTTCTTCTTGCCCATGGTTGTGGTCACCTTGCGGGGATAGCGGTCGATGCCTGCGACCAGAGCATGGCTGTAAGGACGGTCGGTTGTGCCATCGTCAATATTCTAAAAAGAGACAACAAAAAAGGGACTGTGGGTTAAGGCAGACACAAACCATACACAACTTTGAATCAATCCTACAATGTTGTATACTTGACATTTTAACATGGAAAATAATGAGTGCATGTCTGCTAAGTATCTACGTGTTTAGGGAAATCTGTTGTGTTTTTTGGAGACTAATTAAACACCACATCACACCCACAGACATGTTTTTACCTTGACGATGACAGCTTTGCGCCCGGCGTAGCGTCCAGCTAGGACCATCACCACCTTCCCAGGCTTCATGAACTTGCCCATTTCTGCAACAAATTAAAACAATGTCAAACCTCTGTGTCACCACGAATAACTCAACACCTCACAAGCAACATTACTGGTGTCAACAAGACCAAATAAAACGCTGAAACTTGAGGGGAAAACGTTTAAACGTCCCCTGCTCGGTGGTGCTGCTGCTGCTTTGGTTAGCAAGCTAAGCTAGCATTAGCATCCAGCTAGGGAAGGGCTAGCATAACGTTTCTAAAGCTTAAAACATTTTATTTCACTCTTACACGCGTTATGAATACGACATTTAAGTTGTATTGGAACTACATGGAGCCCTACACAGTCTTAACACATATAATCATCCCCCTTTAACAAGGCGGTTCAGTTGGAAACTGCCATGTTGGAAAATGAGCGCTACGGAGACGAAGCGCTGCGATATAAACAATCATTTTTCTCCCTTTGTCAATCAAAAATACACGAAACTAACAACTCGTCTTGGCTAAAGGAGTCGTTGTCGTAAGTGTGGTGCGATAAAAACGGTTAAAATGCTCAGATTTGGAGCGATGGTTGAAGATTGTTGGAAGGGAAATTTCACTCACTGATGCTGTTCTACGGCCACCGCTAGCAGGAAAGGAAGCCGAGAAGGTTTTAGTGACCTTTGACACCACCGATCGACACACGTCACTTCCGGACAATTTTCTGCTCGAAAATAGTCCGTTTTTTGTTTATTTATTAATTTAACATAGACAAATTCATCACACATCGCGTGGATGCTATAATGTAACATTTTACAAATAAGAAAAAGTTAAATTTAGTGTATTTAATGCTGTGATTGAAGATAGAATAGAAGGTAAAATTACTTCACAAGTAAAAGCACTGTACAAAAAACATTAGCATCATAATATACTCAAAGTACCAAAAGTAAAAGTACTCATCATGCAGAATGGCCCAGTCTATGAGAATAACATATATTATATTATTGTAATATAATTATTGATGCATTAATGTGTTCATCACTTTAATGTTGAAGCTATCCGCTTGATCCTCCGAGGCTCAATTTATTTGATGATTATATTTTGTATTATTAATCTGAATCTGCGGAGGTTATCGAATATATTGTATGTAGTGGAGTAAAAGTACTATTGTAATATTTCCCTCTGAAATGCAGTAGAGTAGAAGTGTAAATTAGCAGAAAAATGTTCAGTAAAAGTTTAAGTACTTGAGTAATAGTAGTTAATTACTTCCTTCTAAAAGTACTGGAGTCACAGCTTCAAAATACACTTAAATTATCAAAAGTAAAAAGTACTCATTATGCAGAATGACCTTCTTTCAGTGTGATATTATAATATTGTATTATTAATACAGAGACAGCGTTCTATGTTGTAGCTGGTTAAAGTAAAGCTAATTTTAACTACTTTATATACTGTTGGGTAGTTTAATCTATAACAATGAATTATATTTCATAAACTGGTCATATAGTTTGTCTGTTAAACATTGAACTTTAAAGTATAAAGTGACTATAATGTAACTGTAAAATATATATAGTGGAGAAACAAACAAATGTGAAGTTAAAAAAGACACAATAAACATGTTTTATACACAACAGGCGGCCGAATGGGGGAGAAATATTTCACTCATTAAAAACAATTTACAAATATTATTATCAATGCACTTTATTATTTTATTTCATGTATTGAAAGCGATGAATAGGTATTTGTCATGTAAGGAATACAATAGATGTCTCGTTCAGGATGTTCTGTCAGCCTTGTTCTGCGTGAAATGTGTTCAAATAAAGTTAGGGGGAAAAAGTGCCATTTCAACAAAGAAATATCAATATCAATAATGTGTCAAGTTTTAATTCTTGATTTCAATAAAGCTGAAAGAATAAAGACTCAACAGCAGCACAGCGGTTCATTTACTAAGTTTAATTTGTTTACAGCTGTAGCTATGCATTGATAAAAATAAAGAAAATAAACACAATTCATATCTCCCAATATATTATTTGTGATTAAAAACAACATAAATTGAAATGATTCAGTGTGTTTCTAGCTACTTTAACTCAGTGTTCTGATATGTTCAACCTACTTCAGAGGCGAGTTAAAACATGCTAAGCCATAAATAAATAAATAAATAAATGTCTCCTTACATAAATCCCAATAAAACAGCTCTACAACAAAAATAGGAATGTAGGAAGTTAAATATGGCAGCATATCTACGACACCGAAACAGAAGCGTTTACACAGCAACATAAAATAAATGATGAAAATGTGTCTCCAGGTGCACGCAGGTCACAAAGTGCACAGGTTTCTATGTTGGGAAGTACAGACGCAGTGATCCTCTTTTATCAAAGGTTTGATACACACATCAGTGTGTGTGTTAGTCCCATAAACAGCAGTTCAACATACAGCAGATATAAACTAAACCTCAGTATAATAGCATCTATGGTTTGAACATTCAGTATTTAAGGATAGAAATCGTGCAACTCTTCCATCTCCCGAAAATAAAAATAAAAAGAAAAAAGTTCTCTGAAAAACAGGAAACAAAACAAAACCTTTTATATCCTACAATCGTGTTACATCGTTCTTATCATACAACATCACTGCCATCTAATTCTGATCCTAAATAAACCTGGAATAGGAGAGAAGCAGCAGTTCAAACAGGGTCTAACACCTGAAACACAACGTGCAAGAGGTGATGACAGCTTCACAGGTTTCAAAATGGAGTCTGCAGACAATGTTACACAACGCTTTAACTTCACGTCCGAAGAGTGCGTCAAGAGAGCAACCGATCTGCTCCGCGTGATTTACCACCAAACGAACAAACGCCACAACAGAAGAGTCACTGCACTTTTCACTGTGAACGACAGTTTGCTGTTTAGAAACCTCGGTATCGAGTTTCGGCTGATTACTTTTTCTTCCTGGATTGTCTCAGTGGCGACCGCATTACAGTACTGATTACTGTACACATCCTACCTCTCTCTTAGCTGCATAGGTTAGGACGCCGTCATGTACACAGGGCGATGATACGGTGTGATGAGCACAGGTCGCAAAGGTCAGGAAGGCTTCTCTAAAGGTGAGGAAATCTCAATCTCCATCTAAGGCATGTTTACAGTACGAGTAGCATCATCATTTTGGAATCATAAAGAGAAGGTCACACGACATAATCATCCATGCATGTACAGAAGACATCACACACTTCACTTAAGATGGGTCGCTACTTAAATAACCTTTAAAAGGTTACATACTTGAAGCACAAAGTCATGTTTTTGCGGGTAAAATACTTGATTTCTGAGGCTGATGTTTTCGTTAGTTTTCATGGATGTGTCGCCTCCTCAGAAAGCATCTTTAATGTTCTTCAGCTGCCGGACAGCCAGGTCCACTGGGAGGTTGAATTTGAGGTGGCTGATGCGGCCCAGGATGCGCAGGGCTCCTTCGAAGCCGGTCTGGGCCATGTAGCTCCAGGACTGGTAGTGCGGGTGTACGAGGGTCCCGGACTTACACAGCAGGTTGAGCCACGACACCAGCCGCTGCTCATTCAGAGCCATGCACACCAGCGCTTTGAACTCGGTGTCCGGTCCTCGCTTGTAGCGTCCGTGCTCATTCAGCACAGTGTGGACGGCCCACAGCAGAGACTGTTTAGGGGTGACGGTCACCGGGCCGCCCGCCACGGGGAGGCTGAAGGACTGAGAAAGCTGGCGGGCCGGAGTCTCCACGAAGGCTTTCCCGTTTTTGGAGTGGTAGTATTTGACAAAGAGCTCCCATGGGTGCATGGTCTGTGGGGTCGGTCTGTAAGGCAGCAGGCAGGAGATTGGCGCCAGCACCATACTCATGGTCTGGGAGGGCGAGAAGAGGCCGTGAGACAACAAGTCCTTCAGAGCGATCGCCAGCTCCTTCCTCACCGACGACGTCAGCTCGTCGCGGGGTCCCAGCGCCGCGTTGCTGGTGTAGTTGACGACGTGTTCGAGGGACGGCTGTCTGCACGAGCCCAGCACTCGCACCTTGTCGACAGCCGCCTCTAGGCGCTGCAGCAGGGGCCCGTAGTTCTGCAGGGTCGACTCCTGAGGCCACATGTTCTGAGGAAGGTGGCCGGGGGCGCAGCCGAACTGGCTCGCAGCGAAGATCTGCAGCACGGCCAGGGCCTTCTGGATCAGCTGCAGGCCGGTCTCTCGCATCTTCTGGGCCTGCTCTGGGTCCACTGCACAGAGAGGAGGAGAACCACAGGAACTTATACTGGACAGCAACACTGGTGGTTCTGAGCACCACATCCAGTAAACGTTTATAAAGAGTTTACCAATACATCTTTAAAAAAAACCATCTAGGTCCTCAGTCTGAAGCCGGGCACATTTAGCCAGATCTTAAACCCAAATCTACTGGCTTTATTACTGCTAACACTAAATAGTATCTGCTGTACGAGTTTGATACGAACTGACCTTTCTTCTTCAGTCCTGGAGTTCTGGCATTGGTCCCCGCTGCTTGTGGCTGCTGGCTGAGTCCACCATCTGATAGGAGAGGGTTCCCCACTTCATCTTTTAGGAAAGAAAAGCAAAATTCATTCAATAAACTGTGAAATGAAAACAAACAAGCAGACACTGCAGTGAAACGGAGGATTCGTATCCACTTGAATGACGTTTTTTACTGTGTATGAGACCACGTACCCTGGATGAAGTTGATGAACATCTCCAGGTCTCTGATCTGGGTCTTGAGCTGATCCACCAGCTGCTCTTTGACCCTGGCTGGGTTCACTATCTGAGCGATGGCAGCGTCCACTCTCTGTCGCAGCTCCTCGGGCGACAAGTTGCCGATGTCCTCGTTCAGGTTCACGTCCAGCTTTTCGATCAACTCGTCAATGATGACCTGAAGAATGTAAGAAGGTTAGAGAATGGACGTAGTGTTTTATTTGAAGTGGTGTTGGTGGGAAGCTTCAAAACAGTTTGCATTCACTAACTCAGTCATTTTTAGCCACGATAGCAGCCCGGCAGCGTTGGTCCACATTAAAATATCTCAACAACTGTCTAATGGATTGCCAGAAATTTTGTAGAAACATTTATGATCCCCAGAGGATGAATCCTACTGACTTAGGTGATCCTCTGACATTTCCTCTAGCGCCACCGTGAGGTTGACATTCTTGTTTTTCTAGTGAGATATCTTGACAACTATTGGATGAATTACTGTGAAATGTGGTTCACACATTCATGGTCTCCTGAGGATGCATTGATGTTCATCAGGTCAAAAATGTATTTGCTTAATGGCTGGTTTCAATAAATAAATAAATAAAAATAAATAAATAAATAAATAAAAATATAAATAAAATATAAATAAATAAAACTGCTGTACTTTGTGTTTGTTGCCAATGAGCAGATGTTAGTAAGCTAACATGCTAAACTAAGACAGTCACCAGCATGGCACTAAATTCTTCCAGTCAGGAAGATATTTCATTTAATTTTTCACTTCTTTAAAAGGAAAGGAGTAATAATACACTTAAAGGTTTTAGGTGGGCCAAATGTATTATGGACAGACTTTTCAAATAGATTCTCTATATGAGAAACACTCAAGCCTAAAGTGTTTTAAGAAAAGACTCGTTACACCTGATCTGAAACAAGTAAACACCACATTGTGTGCTCAATATAACAGACTGGAAAGTCGTGATAATTTAACACAAGCTTGCACATCTGTTGGGCCTCTCATTATGTAAGTATGAGGATTAAAGGCTGATCAGACGAGCTGTAGCAGATCTGAACCCATCAACATGTGACGGGGTGGCGAGTGATGGTTCATCTTCCACAACCCCACCTTCTGTCTCTCCATGATGACGGACTGCGGCAGAGCGTCGTAGCTGCCCTCCTGGTAGGCGAAGCGCTCCAGATCATCCAGCTGTGTCTTCAGTTGGAAAATGAGATCCTTCTGTTTCTCCCTCTGAGCCTCCAGGCGCTCCCTCTTGTCCCTCTCACTCTGACAGGAGAAACACACACACACACACAGATTTTAATGTCTACAGACAGAGAGCGTGAACAGCGTGTACTAGATCTTGACCAATGTGGGAGCTTTGCTTCTGATACCAATATTTAAGATTCTAAACGCTCTTTGCAATACATTTGTAATTAAATTCACTTAAAATGTTCAACAGCTTTTTAAGTGAGACTTAAGTGTGTATTAACGTTTGATAGACAGTCCTGTGCAGCAGTTTATCAAACACTCATCTGCATCTTTTTCGTACTTGTGTCACAACACTTACACACAAATACACGAGACAACAGGTCTCATACTCACCAGATCTCCCTTCAAGGAAAGCATGCGACGAAGGAGAAATTACATAAAAACACCTTTAGTTTGGGGGTTATGATGAGAAATAACTCCAAATTAATTATTACGCGAGGCCGAGACTTTACTTCAGTTAAGACTGAATGCAAAGAAGCTGGGAGGAAACAACAGCAGGGACCAAAAGCGGCTCGGTTCAACACGGTTGTGTGCACAGAGGCCTTTATTAAACAGATAGTGATCTGCTGGAAGCATTCTCATTGAGCTGGCAGCGCCGTGAGTCAACACAAAAGCAACATTTTTCCAACAGTGATAAGAGTTCAATGGGAACGCAGCCGAGGTGGGCGCAGCAGCCTCGAGCGTGACGGAACAAGCAAATCAGTTTTAATCATAAACCTCACAGCCCTGAGGAGAAGCGTGAGTGTCAAACATCTCTGCAAGCATCTACACAACCTGCATTTAACCTTTCAATATTTATAAATCTGACAATTATCTTTTTTATTATTTAATACAGGCAAAATAACGCATAAAAAACATGACAATCTGACAATTATTTTCTCAAATCATTGATTATTGAAAATGTAAAAAAAATACATTTTGTCAAACTAATTTACTTAAACCCCAAAATATGCAGTTAACTAAAAGAAAAGCACCAAATCATCTAGGATAAGAGGCTGGAATACGGGAATATTGTGCACCTTTGTCTTAAAAATAACTCGATAATCAAAACAGTGGTTGACTAATCAATTGATTCCCTTTTCTTTTCAGCACACACATACACTTTACAGCATCTTGGCAAAGACTCAGACACCTGTAAACACTGCACTACAGTCCTAAATCTATACAATTATCATATATAACTCATATAATAAGGACCATTAAAATAGGAGTATATACAAGGGTATTCTATTATTTCAATGACATGTTGTGACACCTGTCATCTTGTCCTGACATGCACTCAGAGAGAGTGTAAACATCATGGTGGTCGTAGTTTGTCCTCACCGAGTTCTCCAGCTGTTTGGCATCCAGAGCTCTGCAGCCCACCACGTGCGGGCAGCCCCTGAAGGCGAACTCCTCCAGCTCGGCCAGCATCCTCTCCTTCTCATCGGTCTGCGCGTGAACTACCTGCTTCAGCCGGAACTGCACCTGGGCGAAGTGAGAGGTGAGCGCGAGGAGAGAGGAGTTCAGCAGGTGCTGCTCCTCTTCCAGCTTCTCCAGCCTGGTGGCCATTTCCTCATCCGTGGCCGCCGAGGACAAGCCTCTCTTCTTCGGCTGGCCAGGGCTCCCGCTGCCGCTCTCATCCTCCGGGCTGGCCACGGCCCCGACCGGTGCCCATCGCTCCCCTGCGCTGGCGAAGGCAGCCTCGCTGTCCGAGGCTGACAGCTCCTCCGTGGACATTTTGAAAAAAGACGGGGCGGAGGTTTGAAAGTCCAGCTGTTTAAACTACGTTTCCGGTTTGTCAACTGTCTTTTCCTTGGATGATTTGTTTTCTGGCGTTGCGCAGACAACAACAAGGATCACCGCCGGAGAAACAGGTGTAACGCCATCTTGGGAAGGATGATTCATACGTCAAAACGGAGACACGTAAAGCGTGCGGGAAAACACCGGAAGTCTAGTCTAAAACGTTTGTCTTCAAAATAAAAGTGTCCATATTAACGTAACAGAAATTCTTTATTAATTTATCGTACTGTCAGATCATTTTAAAGAAATACATTTTTAAGAATAGCATTTATATTATGTATCATTGTCTTAGTGTCTGTATTGTTTATTTGTAAATGTGTGATGAAGTATATATATTAACTTGTGACACTTTGTAACATTTGTTTTGAAAATTGCAATATCAATAAAATATATTACTTATTGTTATAATTATTATGAAAAATGCTCAATTATAAGTAAAATACTGCATTAAATGTTACTGAATCAAAAGTAATCTGTCATATTCCACTATTATGTAACATACTGTATATTAATTTTGATATTTTTAATAAATAAAAAAATTGAATTTTTGTATGAAAAGTAGATGTGAATACTTACATACCCATATTACCTATATTTATATTATGTAAAGTAGGCCTACACATATGGCTGTTGAAGCTTGATTTCTTTGGCACAAATATTTACACAATTCATTTGTAGAGTTGAATGTATTATACTGTATAGATTTTATATTTGATATCCCTAAATTATTCAATATCTTATTTTCTTTATTTAATTCCCCACATCCAAGCCGGTTCATTGTTTATTTCCCCTGTGGAAAACAACACAGTATTTACGGTTTGGATAGTTTTTATATTCTATATTTAACAAAAAGAAAACATATTTCCTTTATTTTAGGCTTTTATTTTGAATTGTAATCGGAAATCTGTATTGTTACTCCTTCAGAGCTTCACACTGCTCAAAAAGAGGAGGTCTGATAATCCCAAATAAAAAGCCTGACGTCAGAAGAGGCTCAAACTGTACGACGTCATCCTGAAAAGTGGAATTCCATCCCGGAAGTACGGATAAGGAAATACAGGCGTTTAATGCGGAGTCCTCTTTTATGCCTTTCCCTCCCTCTCTTCTTATAGAAACAGATGCTTTAATAGAGTATTCATACAGGAATGATTTGACACGGTGTAATGTCATACAATACATTTCTTGTTTATTAGTTTCATGCAGATTAAGCACTGAGTAGAATATCTCTTCATGTTTGCATCATGGTGTGTTTAAAACCCAAATTAACACAAGTGACAACAAGATGCACACAATTAAAACACTTAAAATTCAATGATTCATTACAGATTATGCCACAAATATATCCGATATCTGAAGTACTGACCAGAAAACAGCGCTACAGAGGATTCACTCATGATGAGGTGAAATTAAATATATTTAAAATGATAAAATCATGTGACATTATGCCCTGAATTGTGACTGATTATTGATAGAAGTGCACTCTGCAGTACAAAGCAGCTGAAGCATATAAAAACAGATTTGACAGGGAATACAATCACATTGCCTGTTGATGTTTTTAATGGGTGGAGGTAAGTTAACTAGCTTGCAACTTTGTGCTTGGAATAACAAGGCTGTATCTGACTTTTAGAATGAATCATTAAAATATTGATGCCCTGATCTTGTTGCATGTAGTTGTTGTTGCAGAACATCATAACCCCAAGTGCAATTCAATTAACCAGCATCCCCTTCACCTTCACCACAAAGATTAGGATAAAATCTCTTTTACATTATTCCCATTTAGTGCATTATGCAAAAACATATGCCAGTGCAGGGGAGGTGTTCTCACAAAACTAGAGCTCTCTTTTTGTTGGCGAGGAACACCTGCCACTTGTCCCAGCGGAGCCTGGTGCTCTTGATGCAGTCTGCAGTCTCGGTGCAGGTGTAGCCGGCGGGACAGCAGTGCAGCAAGTCGCTGCAGCACACCGCCTGTGGAGAAGACAGAGGAAGGAAGACATGTGGTGGTGGAGGAAACAGGTGCTTTAGTTAAGATAGTGGTTCAATTTAGTCTATCACATGTGGAAAAACAGCCTTTAAAATGTTACTTTAGAAAAAGTACAGAGGTATTAGCAACAAGTTTCAAGTATTAAATGTATAAGTATGTCTCCTTCCAGAATATTATTAGTTACATTATTAAACTATTATATCTGAACCTGAACATTGTGCTAAAACAAATGAATTACTTCAACTACTGCAACCAACTGACACAGCTATATGACATCAGGTTTCTCCACCATCATCCTTATATTATGACAAACCCACATTAAAGCTGGCTGTAATAACAACTCCAAATATCACAGGATTTGATTATTTTTGGTGGCAAAAATGCACACAAGTGCGACTCCTGCGGCCTATTCCACATCTCTGCTGTTCAATCCTTACTTTGCAGAATTATCTGATTATTAATACTTATGCAATAATATGTAAGAAGCATACTAATACAGTAGTTACATCTATAACAATGTTTTACAACTTAAAAAGATCCTATTCTTTGGGATTTCTTGTAACTGAAAGGCTGCGAAGACAAGAAACATTGTACAATATTGTAATACTGAAAAATAAAAAATACAAAATAGCCTCTAAGGTGTCTCCCTGACTGTGTAAAGGCAGCCTTAGCTTTACATTATGGTTAGAGAAAAAGCCTGACATTCTTTTTTATTGGAGTATTAGATGATACGTTTGATACCACTCTCATGTCTCTGCATATAAGATACGATGCATTATTTAATGAGCTTTAGAGGTGCTGGTAGGTTGGTTTTATTCCCTTTGGACAGAGCAAGACTAGCTGTTTCCCCCTGTTTCCAGTATTTGTGCTAAGCTACGCTAAACAGCTGCTGATACAGCTTCTTACTTATCGTAGAGACATGAGATTGACATCTTCTCATCTAACTCTCTGCAAGAAAGCAAATATGAATATTTCCCATAATGTCAAACTATTTCTTTAGAAGTTAAAGTTGTTTATCATACATTAGTATATGGACAGCAGCCCCATGTAGTAGCCGAGGTCCTGCAGCAGGTTGTTTCATCTGGACAGCTGGTCTTTTTATCACACTGGACGTCTCTGTGCTTTGAGGGAATGGGCATGGGTTGATGCTCGGCTAGATGCACCCGTGTTAGCGGGACGGCCTCCACCTGCAGCACGATGAGCTTCAGACAGGAGTTAGAGGCCACGTTGCAGGTGTAACCCTGTGGGCAGCAGTGCTCCTTATCCGAGCAGCACACAGCCTGCAGACACAGCATGCACAAGGTTAGTGGAAGTGACATCCATTGTGTTACATAAGTACACCCTGACTGATAGTGTGTCGTATACGGTTATCTCTCCATGTGCAGCGCTCACATTTGGCAGCGGGCAGCAGCCCCACTCGCCCGACAACACCCGGCAGCAGGTGGTCTGTCCGGGACATTGAATCTGCTCATCGCACTGCACAGAGCTGGAATCGGCCTCGACGCTGGTGGTGGCAGGAAGCTTGGTGTACCAGGGAATCACCACTTCTCCTTTGGTGCACGTGGTCTTCCTCTCGTTGCACATGTAGTTGGCGGGACAGCAGTGGCTCCTGTCAGCGCAACACACCGCCTGTGGGGGGGAAGTGAGAGTGAAAGTGCTACTTTCACATCATCCATCTTGTTTTTCAGTTCTTCTTTTAAATTAACAAACTTAAGAATAGTGCAAAAATGTGAGTGCATTAATTAATCAGTAACTTTAGAGTGACAGCCTGAGGAAATTAGTGATTGTGGCCTGAGGCTGAAATAATACAGAGGAGAGTAGAAATGTACTGCGGGATCTATTTCACCATGCAAAGTAGTGATACCGTACTGTCATTTATACTCGTTGGGTCTCACTTTTACAAATTAAAGACAATCTGAACACAAGTTTTCAGAAATCTCAGATGGCTGCTTAACTGCTGAGCTCTTGGTGTTGATCAACGGCCTGTATGTGATTAGTGCAGAAACAATCAATTTGGTTGCTTGCTGCCATTGAAATGGGAGTAATGAGAGTGAACCGTGAACAGTGAAGCTGTGGGATGGAAAACCAAAGCAATGAGCTGAAATATGATATAAAGGTCTGTCGGACGTCCGGTGATAACTATCGTTATCGTTAATAATAGCAAAGTTGTAATAGTATAAAAAAAGTATTAACTGTACATTAATAAACACATAAAATGTCCTTATAGCTGCTTACCACTACATTATGCGGTGTTATAAACCATTTATTGAATTTATTAAGCATTAAATATCAATTTATTAACATAGTTTATTATTTGTAGTCTTTTATGTGATGATCATTTTATGCTATGAGGCGGTAAAAATCCTTGTTATTGCATATTTCAGTGCTCACCTGTGGCAGCGGGCAACAACCCCACTCCTGAGACGAGCTCATGAAGCAGCAGGTGGTGGACGGAGGGCAGCTGGTGTGGGGGTCACACTGAATGCGCTCCTCGTCTTCCTCATCCTCATCCTCGGCTCCAGTTGGCTCTGTGCTTGTGTCCTGACTCTGGGTTGGAGCGACCACTGTAGTGGGTGCCGCCGTGGTAAACGCGGGGATCTTCTGCTTCATGGGCGTTGAGCCCGAGATACCGTCACATTTGAGCTCGGTAATGTCGCAAGTGGTGTCATGCGGGCAGCAGTGTTCGTGGTCGTCACAACAGACGGCCTTTTGAACAAAGTAACAAGAAAGCTTTCAGCCACAGGCATTGCTGGATGTGTGAATACGCATGAGGAGAGAGAATTGTCAGTCAAACTGAAGACATGTTCATGTGAAGATAAAATCAGTGAGTGCAAAAAGTGGTCAAATACACTTTAGAGGATAGTTCAATGTTTTGAGAAATATGCTTATTTGTTATCTTGCTGAGAGTTAGTTGAGAAGCTTGATACCAATTTCATGACAGTACGGTAAATGAAGCTACAGCCAGCGGGTTAGCTTAGCTTAGGACAAAGACTGGAAACTGAAGGAAGCTAGCCTGGTTCTGTCCAAAAGGTAACAACATCCACCTACCAGAACCCCAAAAACTCACTAGTTAACACGTCATATCTCCTTCGTACTAACATTTACAACAGCCTGTTTTTTGTGCTAAGCTAAGCTAGCTCTTCATGCTAACTTTAGCTACTGGTGTTAGATTCATATTTACCGTACAGACATAAAAGTGGTCACAATCTTCTCGACTGAATCTCAGCAAGAAAGCAAATGAGCGTATTTATTTGAACTAAAAAGTTGAACTATTCCTTTAAAGACATAATGTGTGAAACTTTCATGACAACATTGAATCATCTATTAATTCAACATAAAAGTGTGGCACCTTATTAAAACTATCTGCACATCTAGGAGGTCAATCCAGTGGAAAATCCTCAGGAAGGTAGTTTAAAAACTTTTTTTCATCCTTAGTGTGTGCATGTTGCACTGTGTGTTTACCTCAGGTAGATCACAGCAGGCCCAATCTCCTGTTGCAGTCTTACAGCAGGTGGTGTCATCAAGACAATAGTGGGTGGAGTCACATGTAACGTTCCCCACCTGTATTTCTTTTTCAGCAAATAGACAACAGCCACATTGATGCTTTCGAAAAAAACTTTCTACAGCTTTAGAATCAGTTTACCAAAATATAATACATTACTAATACTATTATCGGTAACCTATTACTACCACACCTACTGCATGCAGGAAGAATGCTGCTGTACTAGCTTTGATAGACCTTTCCCACAGACATTTCGTCTAGTCATAGCAGGAAATGCTGCAACTTACAACATTTAGCTGTGACAGTAATGCTGCGTCCATATGGAATCAGGCAGACAGTGGACCAAAAACTGGATATCACGTTAGTGGACGAGAGCAGGACGGTAAAATGAGATGAGGCCAGGAAGGTAATGGTAAACGGCATCACCGTCCAAAGTTAAAATAATTTAACTTTTTAACGGGATGTTACATAACTGTGCTGTTAACTATTAGGTAGCGTACAGTCCATGGTTTGTGTTAAGCTAATGTTAGCTTTAAAAAAAAGAAACTGATCAGGGCCTTAAGTCCTGCATTCACAGACACCCCTACATTAAATGGAATGCAGCCGTTATTAACGTTATTAAAGCATAACGTCTGCTGAAAAAAAAGGTCTGTTTTTACATTTAACTCATGCATCTGGGCTCGTTATGTGCATCTTATGATACATATTGTATGAGGAGTGTGTGCTTGTTATGCATACTTAAATTCATGATGAACACCTCACCTGCAGCTGCCTTGGTGAAAGATGATTCGTCCTTCTCTGTGGGAGGAACTGCACTCACTGTGCTGACTTCAACAGCTGTCTTTGCAGTGACTTTTTCGCCTTCTGAAAGAGGAAACACACACTGCTATCGCTGCATAAACACTCATGCAATAATTAATCAGAATAAGGAAGTAAATTTAGCCGCAGTTAACCATAATGAATCTGACCTTTCTGGTTCTCCCAGTCCGCTCTTATCCTGGCAGGGAATTTGGCCCACATAGGCGTTACTTTTTTGGTAGATGAGGAAACACATTTGCTGTGTTCAAGATCACATGTGGTCCCTTCAGGACAGCAGTGTGTCTTATCCACGCAGCACACAGCCTGTTTGGACAGTAAAGACACATGGAGTATCACCTCTAGAGCCACACATGATAAGACAACATAAAGTCACGATAACCAGACATGCAAATCCAACATTTGACTTTTTCCTCATTCATAATCTCAATTATACTATTAGAATTTCAAAGTGTATGTCTATAATGAAAAGATCAGCCATTTTGTACGTTTGGCTTGGGACAGCAAGCCCAGGCTCCTTCTGTGGTTTCACAGCAGGTGGTATCATCTGGACACTCCGACACTCCATCTTTGCACAGAACTGCAGTCACAAGCTCTGCAACAACATAACGGAAACATTTAAAAAGCTTGAGATGAAAACCCCTTATGAGAGTTAGGCCAGTTTATCTGCACAGCACCCTTCAACAACGAGCCAATACAAAGTGCTTTACACGAGACTTAAAAGGGCTTTGACACAAATAAACCAGAAAGAGTACGATAGATTTAAAAAATGAAAAAAAAAACAGCCCAGTGTTGACAACTTTTTTACAATGAAAGTAGCAAGTAGCACTAGTTCTAGAAGTCGCTAAATTTTGCGAGAAAGAACAACCCGGCCCTTCTGAGCCCCCAGTCTGTAACTCAGCGGGTATTTTCCTTTAAGTTAAATCAACTTCCCAGTACAAACACTTCAATAACCCTGAAGACAGTCCTTTGATTATTGATGTATTCTTAAGGTGATTGTGGGCTCATTTTGAAATGTGCTTGATGTTAAAATTCCAGACATTAACGACACAAAGATTTCTAGCTTGGTTTGTGGTCTTTAACGTTAGCGACTGAAGCTGAAGACTGACTTTTAATCGCTCTTCTTTGGCTCCAAAAAACAATTATTTCAGATACATCTTTGCTTAACAGGAGGACGTTTTTGTACATCTAATCATGGTTGAATAGAAGAGGGCTGAGACTGGAGCCTGCAGGTGTCATTTCCGTTCACACAGATTTGTAATTACCCATTGACACAAAGTAGTTTGAGTCCTGCAGACAACATTCACACCAGTTTAGCGCTGTGCCAGAAAGTCCCGGACAGTTTTCCAGACTGTCTAGTAATATGTTGTGCTAGTGAGAAGAAGCATTTCACCTTTTTTGATGCAGGAGCGGCTGTCTGCGCTGCACTGGTGGCCCTCAGGGCAGCAGTGTTTCCCATCAGAGCAGGGGACTCCCTGTCAGGGGTCAGGAAATCATGAATTTATATATTTGTTTTATAGAAACAAGGGTTCAATCTTAACTGCTTTACCCCAAACAGGTGAAGTAGTTAGACATCTAAAGGTGCAATATAGTCAGACTAAAACAATCCAGCAGACAACTTTACAACAAAACGCAGGAAGCTGCGTTATAATAGAGAGTACTTCCTGTTGTATTCAGTGAAGTGAAAATGCTTGTTTCACCAAAACAGCAAATGTTCCTCCTTGTGACAGGAAGTCACGGGGCTTTTAGAGGACACATTTTGCGTAACATATGCACCCTTAATATCACCAGTGTTACTGTACGAGTGGTTCATCAGTGGACTCCACCATGGACCTCAATGTTGTGGTCCATATTTTACTGTTCTTTTACCAGTTTGTCACTTAAATGACCGTGTAGCACTTCTTTAGAAAGGGTTAACATGTCAACATGACTGCGTGTCTTTCAACCATCTTTTAACATTAGTTTTAAACTGACTGACACTAATGCACTCTCTAATACTTGTAGGGATAACACTCAACTGTTTAGTTGCTGTAATTGCGAAAGTGCTAATTTAGTTGAACAATGTTTGATGTTACAGTCTCCCCTCTGTGATGATCTTGTTTGTTTTGTTTGACCATGAGCTGTTAGAATAAACTGCATTACATGTAATGTCATTGTCGGACACGGTTTCATTACCTGAGCTAAGGGACAGCAGCCAAACTTTGTCAAGCCCCTCAGGCAGGAATACTCAGCTGGGCATCGAGACTGATCAGGACAGATGTTGTCGTCCACCTCCACCATGTACGTCTTGATCATCCTGAAGGACTGCAGGGAGGGACATGACGGGAAAAGGGGGCTCTCGCTTTAGATGTGTCAAACTCTCACTCTCTGTGTCTTATGATGAAAGCAACGCGTGTCTGTTGTTCTCACTTTGGAGAGTCCGGGCTGATCAGCAGAAGTTCTTTCCACCCAGGGGACGGACCCGGTCGAGTTCGAACAGCTGGACATGGCTGTGTTGCAGATTGTTCCCGCAGGACAGCAATGCATGTGATCCTCACAGCACTCAGCCTGCAAGGGGACAGCAGTAGTAGGGACACTTTGACTAACAAAGTTTTAAACTGCTATCTCACTGGCTGAGTGAAGCCTGAGCTTCTATCTGGCTCATAAAGTGACAAAACACTAGTGAGCATGAATAGTACCACTGTTCAGCCTTCATTTCTTTTTATTTTAGAGTACAAGAAGGGTTATCTCATATTTACATGCAACTATGTGATGGACAAAAGGGACAAAGCATCCTACTGAAGTGCAAGCAGTATAACTTTACTGGGGTTTATCTTGTGAAGACGTTAAGTTAATTGTGCTGCCCTTCAACCGAGAGCAGTAAAGAGGTTTAAAGTGTTCAGGCTGACAGCTGGACAGGATCAAAGTCCTTCATTTTTATCTTTTTTTACTTATTATCAGCCTATATGAGCAAAAATATTCACATGTATATGGAATACATGCACACACAGTATCAGCAAATAAACTGAATTCTTTCAGGTTTCCGTCAATGTACATTTTTAATAATTAATAATTTAATACATGTCAATAAGTGATTCATAATTAGCACACCAAAGGGTTACGTCAAGGCTAACTGTGGCTATCTCTGGCTAGCATGAACTCTGTCCGTGTTACATTATGATGCACAACATGCAGGAACCATGTCTACCTGATCCAGTGGGCAGCATTCATAGCCGTTGGCCGGGTCGTTGCAGCAGGTTTGACCGTCGTCACATCTCCCTCCATCTGGACACTCATCAGCACCAACCAGAGCCAGGAGAGCCCAACAGATCACAACCCACTTCTGCATCTGCACACAGGGGGACACACGCGCACACACACACACACACACACACACACACACAGGTCATCAAAGAAAGTGAAAGATATGCATGTCGAATCCCCCTCTCCAATCACAAATAACATGTTTGTATTCACTTCTGCTGAAACGATTGGACACGGAGTATAATAGTTTATTAATTAATCATTAATCATGGCTATTTTGATGATTTCTCACCTTTAGATTCATACAGTTGAAAAACAAAAATGGAAATAATATCTGGGACTCAGTTCTGTTTTCATTTCTACTTCCTGAAAGTGTAACAGTCCCTTTTGGGGTTTGTTCCTGATTTTTGTCTTTAGCGAATCCAACACAATAAGAACCACTTTCAGTTTCGTTTAACATGCATATTAGAAAGGAGGGTTCTTTGTCTTAATAAAATCTCAGCTAGTCAGAATAAACTGTGGACGTTTTACATGAAAATATTAAACCAATTTAAGCAGTACGTGAATCGTTGTCAAACATGTTTACAATTCACTCAAATTGCAAGTCACTCAGTTTTTTTCGTTTCATCTATTGTGAAGTTTTATCCGGGTTTAACTCTTACCATAGTGTTGAGCTTTTTGTTTTTGTTATTATTACCTTGTTTGTCTGTCAAAGCTCTTTGTAAACTCTGTTTTTAACGGTTGTTACTTCTTTACCAAGCAATTAATGTATCAGATTCAACGAATACGTTTAGTTTGCTCTTACCTTGGTTAAAGACTGAAGGGCTGTTGTGAGGAGAAAGGTGTTTCACAAGTGTCTCACCACTAAACAGAACAAAC